GTAACAGGATACATAAGAAGAAAAAATGTAAACACATGTGGTTTTCCGTGTTTTTCTTTTCCCAGGGTGACAATTGAGCATGCCCGAGCACGCTCGAGGGGTAGAGGCAGAGGGAGGTACTCTGACCGTTTCAGTAGCCGCCGGCCACGCAGTGACAGGAGGTACGTGTTGCTTTGAAGTGAGGCAGTTTAAAAAAAAGGAACGCTGTGGGCTAATCCCATCCAAGAACTTCAGCTGAAGTGAGCTGTTAAAAGGTGTTGTGTTTTTAGTCAGTCATTTGATGTGGCAGTAGGAGATGAGGATTATGGAACTGCTTACATATGCTTGTCATCTTTATGCTCCGTCCCACAAGTATTTACTGCCTGTTCTATATTGCTCAGGGCATTATGTAGTTCCGCTTGTAGTGCTAATGATATGCCAGTACTGGCTCTTGGTACAGCCTTAGTTAATATTAAAGTGGTTAGATATTGTTTGCTGATGAAAGTCTGAATTGTTTATTTCCAAACAGAAATGCCCCACCTTTAAGAACAGAAAATCGCCTCATAGTGGAAAATTTGTCTTCCCGAGTCAGCTGGCAGGTTTGTTGAAACACGATTAACTATTTTGATTTAATTTAAAGGAAATGTTATATAATGTAGTTATTTTGTAAAATAATTAATTAAAATTAAATCTAACTTATTAAAATGTTTATGTAATTAATATGATTTTTAAATGTAATTTAAATATTTTGAATGAAAAGTAGTTAATTTAAATTTATAATAATAATAAATTTATATATTTGAGGATATATATTTACTTTTTTTCTTGTTTTCAAAATCCATTTTAACCACATATTAAACCCTTTATTTGCCAGCCTATCTGTGTCGTTGGCCTTATGACGAGGAGTGCCTGTGGGTTATCCTAATCGTTCTGTCTTGGTCACTCTTGGTCGGGCCTGGTTGACTTTCCAGTCAGCTCCTACAATGTCACTTGGCCACCTCTAGATCTGTGTTTGCCGGTCTAGACGTAATCGATGCACTCCTTAAAGTGCCACATTGCAGCGATCCCAGAGCGTTAACGAGATCTGATTCCTAAGTTGAGAGCTGTTCTTCCTGTAACGCTTCCGAATAACGAGGTCCTGGTCGAAAAGAGTTGAAAGATACGAAATTAGGTGGTCGTTGGAATCCTGATCGCAGTAAAGTGGTCCTTGGTGACATCAAGCATAGAGAATGTCTGGATCCATCCATAGTCTCCTGATAGGGAGGGCAGTGCGATTAATGGCTTCCATCGACTGGGTAGTGTTCGTCAAGTGGGTGGCGAAGAGCCAGTCGGGCATATGTCATGACGGTATCTCCGGTCGCTTAATGCAGTTTGCTGCTTGGCTAGCCTAGGGAATTGTTAATGAAGGTAAAGTAAACTATATTTTTAATGACATATGGGGCACAAAATAATTGGCGTTATGTAAATGTAATTCTATATTCGTATAAGATTTGTAATGTAAATGGAGACTGAAATAATCCAAAAATATATGGGTAGTATTTCACACTCAATCCAGTATGTATACAGATGTGCTTTTTTATTTCTTTCTCTCTCTCTTTCTCTCTCTTTGTTATTTAATCTGTAAAATCATTGTAGACTAATATTTGCCTTATTGTTAAGACACTTTATTAGCATTTTGCTTAAAGCAATATGCTTTTTTTCATTTATTTCGTGCCCTAATATAGATAAATTCAGTATTGATAGAATACGAGTATGGCAGTTGCCATGTTTGTGATTTACCTAACATCTTCTCTTTCAGTAGTCATAAGATTCTTTTGTTTGTTTTAAACTACTTTTGTATAGATAAGTATTAATTTCACTTCTGTGCATAACATAAGTGGTCTTGTGTTAGGATCTCAAAGACTTCATGAGACAAGCCGGGGAAGTAACCTTTGCAGATGCACATAGACCTAAGTTAAATGAAGGGTAAGCTTCTCAAATCACTTCTTGAAAGCTGTAGAGTAATAACTTATGTGTGATATTTGGGGAGGGAAGCTGGCTACTTTCAGTGTCAGCAGCTGTTCCTGGTTTAATTTCACTGCCCTTTGAAAATGCATTCAGTATTTAGGGAGTGGAATTTTCCATGCTTCAGTGATAACAAGGGATATTTACACTGAGCAGTGTGTTTTGCAGTTTGGTTTTGGGTTTTTTTTCATTTTTTTTCCCCATTTTTTCACGGTTGTAAATTGTACTTGTGTTTATAAATACAACTTGTAATAGTAATCTTTGTGTTTGGGTTTTTTTTTTTTTCTGTTTTCTGTAGGGTGGTTGAATTCGCCTCTTACAGTGATTTAAAGAATGCTATTGAAAAGCTTTCTGGTAAAGAAATTAATGGAAGGAAAATCAAACTAATCGAAGGCAGCAAAAGGCACAGGTATGGATTTCTGTTCCCTTGAATAATGCTTAAATATTCATAGAGAAAGCCTTGAAGTCAGTGACCAGGCAGCTGAACTCTGGAGCCCAGTGAATTGCCTGGTTATTGCCGTGGTCCGTGGGATTTTGTTGCTCACGCTATTGCTCTTCATTTCCACAGTAGGTCCAGAAGCAGGTCGCGGTCGCGCAGCAGAAGCTCATCCGGGTCTCGTAGCCGTTCTCGTTCCCGCAGCCGCAAGTCTTACAGCAGGTCACGGAGCAGGAGCCATAGCAAGTCTCGGTCAGTTAGTAGATCTCCAATGCCAGACAAGAGCCAGAAACGTCGTTCATCCAGCAGATCAAAATCTCCATCATCTGTGGATCGGCAGAGGTCTAGATCAAGGTCCAGATCTGTTGACAGTGGCAACTGAACTATAAGTAACTTGCCTTGGGGCCCTTTTTTAAACCATACTTGCTAAAACTTGTGGTAAGTATGTGACTTTCTGTGGGGAAGGGTTTGGATGGGGGTGGGGGGAGGGATGGGAGAACTTTGTAGATGTGGACCATGGTGGGAAGGGTTATTGACTAATTGTATTAAATGTTTTTTGATAACCCTTTTCTTGCTCACATTTTTTTGTGAATGTCTGAAGTGTATAGTTTGTGTATATTGGCAGAGCTCTTTATAACTAAAGCAGAAAAATTTTTTTGTACTTTAAGTCATCTGAACACTTAATTCTCAGTATATTCGACTGTGAATAGCAACTCAAAAGCATTAGTTTAATATCAGACTAATAGCTTTAGGCATCCAAGAGCTCTATATGTGCTGTACATAAAGCTGTATTTCAGAAGGTATTTTTTTGTGCTTTTGAGACATTGTTTCAGTTATAGGTCAGCAGATAATTGCTGATTGGTACTGCTAATAAAACTTTATTTTAAAATATTTTCATTTAATATGACTTGCACTACACTAAGAAAATGCCCATTTCACTGCCCTGTGGTAATAATATTCTATGAAGCACTCTAATTCTTGATACCTAAGAATGAAATAGCTCAAATAAAGTATAAAGAAACATTTCTGTGTCTAGTTTGTTCTTAGTGCTAATAAAGTGTTTGTAGCTGCATTAAAATGTTTCTTAAAAATGGGTCTGTGGCAAAGTGATGACTGTTTTGGGCGTGGGGGAGAAGTGGCGTCCTTTTAAATACATCATGCAATGTCCTTGAACGTCTGTGTTCTGAAAGAAGAACAATTATGGTTGTCACTGTTCATAGCAAAAAATGGAACAGATGAGTCATTTAGCTTTTAATCACTTCGGATAATAAGCACGGAATGTTAAAGATTCATGTAGTCAGCATGCATCATTAGTGCGTGTGTGCAGATGCTTCTGAGAACGTTGAGATAAACCATTTTTATAGGCATTAGTCCTCGTTCTGGGGCAAGAGGCATTTTTAAGTTGGTGGGTGGGAGTACAGCAGTGGTACCCTGAGGCTTTTGCATTTTAGTGTTCGTGCCTTCTAGGGGCAGCAGTTTTCTGCAATCCCTGCATTTCTCAAGCCCTCACCCACAAGAGAGCTTTAGAATTTAATTTTAAAAATAATGTTTTCTCTATAAAGTGCTTTACAAAGCTATTCTAATAATCTGTTGAAACCTTTAGAAAGGTCTTTGTAGCCTAGGCTGGGATTTGGATAGATCATAGGAAGTGCAAGGGGGTTCCTTTCAGAACGAGGTCTGGCCTCTGCAGCCCTGCTGCCTTCTCTCCTTGCTGTTGCAGAGTCCTTGTGTACTGAGGTAACGGAGGGAGGAGCTTTTGTGCCTTGTGGATCGGTGTGTTAAGGTGGCAGTGTACCAGCCGCTGCTGGGAGCAGGCGTGGAGAGGGGCTTAGATCCATAGTTAACTGGATCTTTACTAGTCAGCTTTGGAGAAGGGGAGGCTTCATTCTCACAGGCTTGGGATCTGATGCTGGATCACCCCAAGAGGTGTGGAAGAAAGGGCTTTAACTTCTGGGGATAAAAGCAGCACTGACATGGGGGTGGAAGGTTAGCTGTGTTGAGACCTTAAGTGAGTTGATCCTGCTTACTTGGGTTGATGATGGGCATCTGTGTCCCAGTGGGACTTAGCTTCAACTGGAACCTGGGTAGCTGAAGGCACCTGATGATGGGAAGGGGGTGGGATGTCAGACTCTTCTCTCAGGCTAAACATGAAATGCTGTCTGCTGCGTAAATAGTTGTTCTGAATTCTGTTTCTAAACTGCACCGCTTACTTGCCTTGCAAGTGGTGTGAGTAGGTGTCTGCATATTCCCTGGGGAGCTGGCTGTTGTGATGAGGAGCTTCCATTTTAAAACAAACTCCCAGGCTTTGCATCGTGGGGGATTATGTTGACTTCTGGCCAGAAATGATTGTGTGTTACTCAGTGTAGGTTCTTGGTATGAGCCTGTTTATCCTTAGTTAAGGTGGATTACTTGAAGTTACAGTGCATACTTTGAACATTGGAGGTGTTAATGGCAATCCTCAGGAGTACTGGTGCACGTACTGTCACCATAGCTGGGTGGTGTTCTCATCAGGGGTGCTGTTGAGTGCACTGACTGATAAAAGGCACATTCAAGGTTCATCTGTTCTCAGAGGTACGGCTTGCTGGGCACTGACTCAACATACTAAGGCAGCCATGGTCATGGTTTTTGTGGCCTCTGCTGTGTGGAGAGAGTGTTGCTCAGGGTTTGGAAGATGGGAGCGACCAGCAGTCCATAGGCTGCTCAGCTGTGCACTGAATCTTGCTGGTTTCTGCACAGAGAAACTTTTCACGCCTCATTTTGGGTCTTTGTTACAGAAATTACATTAATCTTCGGTGATGTCTTCAGCAGCCCCTTCCAACATGTGCCAGTGGGACAGTTACAAGTAAGTGAAATTAAAAAAGGGAACTGATGCAGGCAATGATTTTCATACAGGCAAAACTGGGGGGAGTCACTTGGGACCATGGCCCTAAGCTGTCTCAAAGGGTTGTCAGAATGACTTGGAAGTCACTGAATGTCTCCTTTCTGGTCTGGCAGGGAGAGGCTTAGTCTGGAGCAAGGTCTTCAGAAAACAACGTGGTGGGTGCAGGTAGCTCTGTGGCACTCCCTTTCTCTGGTGTAAAATGAGCATATAGATCAAAGTCCTACACAGAACTGCTGGAGACCTGTGAGCTGGCTGCAGAAGGTGCACCTCAGAGGGTTATGATAACAGCTGCTGCAGAATCCATCTACTGTTTCCCTGAATTCCCACTGTTTCTGCAAGGTCTTGACACTGGTTTCATCTGTTGAGCAATAACTGTGTCCACACCTGCACAGATCACTTGTGCTGTATCTGAGGAAAGAGAAAAATGTGAGAATAAGCAGTTCTGAAACCAGGTTATGGAAAGATTGTGACACAGCTACAATTGGTATTGCTGGGTGATTTAAAGCAAGAGGAAGGAACTTGGAACTCCTACCAAAAGAGTGAAGCTGTGTCGTTTCCAGTGATGTATGATTTGGAGCCTAGAAAGCCACTTTTTTTTATTGTAGTCTTACAAGCACCTGTATGGCTGTTTCGAATGTCAACTCCTTTGCATTGAAGGCAGACCTGAGGATCCAAATGAGAGCAGGTTTTTTTTCCCCATTAGCAGTTACCCTTCCACATAGCTATGAAATGTGGTAAAGTGATACTGCAGCAGCTCTGTAGCAGCTACTCTGCTGCTGCTTTGTTTCCAGGGACTGCAGAAAGCTGGACTGGAAGCATCAGAGGGGTGACTGGTGCAGGATCTCATTCAACAGTGCATTCTTCAGCCATCATTGCAAATAGACAGCCGGGCTTTGGCATTATGGACCTGCTGAAGTTGGAGAAGAGTCTATCTTATGTCTATAGCAATACTGTATATATTTTTAAATTAACTTTTGAGCTTTTTATGTACTTTTCTAGGAAAGGATCCAAATGTTTCCTTCTTTCAGCTGCAGTACTTGGCAATTCTGTTCTCTTCTTCCTCCCCCCACTCCAAAAGTGACAACCTTGACAAGAGACTTGTTACTGTAAATCGGCAATAAGAAACCCCTAAAACTCAATTTGTGAGCATTAGCGGGCAGGCATTCCTTTATTATCAGCACTGGACACACGGGATGATAGCTCCTTTAATCGTGTATGTCCCATTCTCGGCTTGCGTGTTCAGTAAATGTCTTACACGTTCACTACTTATAAAGTTCATGCATGTTAATTAGGTATCTCCATGATGACAAAGAGGACCATGACAAGGATTGCATTCAGGGCTTTGTCCATGGCCTGCTGGCCAAATGCAAATGGTGGTGCCACACTGGTCAATGAGGTTCTTTGCACGCAACTTGGGCTGCAAAGCTCTGGGCTCTCAAAAGCTCACTCAGTTTCGTTCATCCTACCGAAGGGTTTAGAGGTCCCTTCTTCTGCAAGTGGCTGGGAAAGTGAAGGAAGGCTTGAGGAAGTCCAAGTAACATTCAATTAATGCAAGCAAAACATGAGCTCTCAGGACACTGCTCTTACCCTTCAGCAGCCGTTGAAACAGAAATCCATGTTTAAAGCAATCAGCCATGAACTCCATTCACTTCAGAAATATGCTGTGCAGTTTGTGTAACTTCTGCTCTGGTCTCCCACCTCTTCCAGCATCCAGCCTCACAATGAGAACGAGAACATAGCTGGTGGGAGAGGGAGACCTGTTCAGAAGTTGTAAAGACGGACACTTCATACAAAGGAAAATGAATCAGAACTCTTGTCCACAAGATATTGGTAGGGCCAGTGCTTAAAAACACGATGCATCCCAAGGTACTTTGTTTTTAATGAGCGTTATAAAATACTTACTCTTCTGGCCATGAAGCAACATCTTGATAGGAGGTCTAGGAAGAAAATTCCTCCATGGGTGAGTCATTTCTCTAGTAAATTCTTAGGGGCTTTCATGTCTCTTTTCCTGATGTGCTAAGTTGGACACTGTCTAGAAATTTTTTGGTTGCATATAGGAATTAATTCTGCAAGCCTTAATATCTAAAATATTATTCCATCTTTATCATTGAGGGGATGTTCTGCATAGTAGGAGCCTCAACTGACCTCTGCAGTGCAGGGCTGTGCTCAATGGGCAAGCAGTGCTGCCTTCAGCACGATGATCCAGCTGGGGCTGCAGACATCACCCGAGCTCTTCAAGCAAATCCAAATAGGCAGCTTTTACCCACCCCTGAGTGGTACCTGCCTTATGCTTTCAGTACGAGGCTGCATGGCACAACATGCACTCGGTGCTCTGGCATGGAGGGAAGCAGGAGCTGAGCAGCTGATGCTGGGGCAGGAAGAGGGACTAGAAAGGTGGTTGATCCTCCAGCTGCTGCAAGGGTGACTGCTGGTCATCCTGCCACTGCTCCACCCCTGGCTGCATAGGGGATGTGCTTCCCTATGCCTGCCATGCTGGGGAATGGCACATTGCCTGCCCTGTCCTAAGGCGCTGTGCTTTCTGATTTCTTCCTCCAGATTTTACCTTGATTTAAGACATTTATTGCCTTCAAATTGTCCCTAGGTCCAGGGAGAGACTCGAGAAACATAGCTGAACACATTAGACTAGAGCAAAGTGAATGTCATTACCCCACATGCCTGTGGATGCAGCTGTACGAGGCTTCTGTCAAATCACCTGCTACTCCATCCCTTCCTGCGTGAAGTTGGTGAGTGATAGCACTCTTCACTCCTTCTGCATCAAGAAAGTGTTTCCCCTTTGGTAGAATCCTGTCCTCTGCTTGCAGAATATAAAGCCTGGGTTTAAAAGAGCCTCACAGATAGGGAAGTTGTTATAGGATAGTTGTGTTACAGTACTGGGGAAGAGATTTTAATCAGGGAGGTTTGCTGCCCTAAGGCTGAGTTCTAATCCCTATGTTGAAGGGCATTATAATTCTTCAGTAGCATGTCCATTGCTCCTATTCATCTGGGAGCTCAATAGGCTCAGCTTCTCCAGCCCTATTGCTCTGGAAACGCTGCTGGCAGCAGGAAGGAATGTAGGAGCTGGTCTCCTTGTTCCTCCTCACTCGCTCTTGCTTTGGTTGGGAACTTTGTTTTCCAGGCTGGCAGCCAGGCTAGAAAAGCCCCAACAACAGCTCAGGAGCCCAGCACAGGCATCCCTCATTAGGTGGAGAGGAGCAGTGCCTGCAGCTCCCAGTGGCTTTGTACATCCATGCCCAAGGCTTCTCCTACATCTTTGTGAGTACCACAACGCCATGCTTGGAAGCAAGGCCCTTCCCCATAAATCACAGGTTTTGCCTTGAGACTTCTGTGTCACTGACAACTGCCTGACCTCATTGCTGGGCCCTGGCTGAGTAAGCAGGAGGAGGTGGCCTACAGCACTGTATGTGTTTCATTTTTCCTTGGGCATCTGCAAGATTTCTAGACACAAGCAAAGGCTGCCAAAGTAGCACATGAGCAAGGTCCATAGGAAATAAGTGAAAATGTGTGAGTGAAGCCCACAGCAATTCCTTATCTCTTTCTACTCCTCCCTTCAGGTTTCTCTTTCCTGCAAATCCCCAGTCTTCCTAAGGAAATGTTTGTTTTTCACTGCATTTGCCTTTTAGCTGTGCACCCAGTTTTGTAAGAGGTGAGAAAAGGGTCAAGACAAGCAACTAAGCGTCACTGCCTCAGCAGCACCTGGAGCCCCTTCCTCAGTGCAGCTCAGGTTTTTAAAAACGACAATGTTCTAATGCTCTCACCCTTTGTCTTTGCAGGGCTGTAGAAGAATATTTTAACTACCCTAATAGTTAAAAAAACGCCTGCTAGTTGTTTATTGTCCAAGCATTCCTGCTGCTTCCCAGTAGTTAATGGAGGAAATGCCATGGGAGCCAAGGGAGAAACTGGTCAAGGGAAGCAGAATAAATTAGGATCATTGTTTCACCCTGGCTCATCCTGGGACATCCAGTTGTTTCACATGAGCGTTGGAGCTGGGGGGTTGCATTCAGGTGTGGCCAAGAGAACTGGATCTTGGCTCTAAAGCTGCTGCTCCCTTCGGTGGGATGCGGGAGGTGGGATGGCTGAAGGGCATGGCTGGAGAAAGGAGCATGCTCCCATGCAGTGGGCCTGGGTGTTGTGTGAGCATACTGCTGGTAGCCTGCCAGGGCTGCTGCTGACCTGGTGGAGAAGCTGCCTGTTTCATCCCTAGGCAAAGCACGCCTTTTCCTTCCTTCAGCCGCTTCCTGGAAGGTCTTAGTTCCTAAAAGGTAAACTTCGAGCTGTTCTTCAGATGTTCTCCGCTTTTTCTCTCTCAACTCATATGTGCTCCAGCAGCCAGCCCCCGGCGCAAGGGGCTCTGCGTGGAGCCGCGGAGCTGCGCGGAGAGTCCTGCCCGGCTCCCGCCGCTGGAGGGCAGTGGCCGCATGCCCAGCGCCCCGGCGCTCCCCGCGGGGAACAGGCCTCCTGAAACAGTCTCACCGTAGATTCCCTAGATCGCCTTTATGAAGTCAAATAGTCCCAAATTCAGAGATATGGCCTAATACAACAGGCATCACGGGACACTTAACAAACTGGAGGCATTAAAGGAGGCATTTAAAAAATGAATAAGAAAACGTATACAAGTTCGCAGACTTCTTGTTGGAGCTCAAAATGAGCTGGGTTGTGGACTTTCTTTTTTAAAAGGAGTTAGTGGTTCATGCTTTCATAATGCAGCTTTATAAATTTATCCGATAAATACAAAATGGCTTATGTGCTTCTTTCAATAGTGAGAAGCTGAAGCCCAGTTTTCTAGTTTGCAGCTGCGATCATTGTCTCTTCTGTGTTTTTACAGAACTTAATATAACTTGAACTCAGACCTGTAATTGCCCAAAGGCTCTGTTCCATCAGATGTGCCCGACAGGAGCAGTGGTGCTCGATTTATGTCAGATTTCACTTTCTGTTGGCCCACAATACCAGGCATGACTTCAACATCTTGTGTCCATATTTTGCTCAGGTAAGGTTTGAGAAAACAATGAGAACTGTACAGTTATGTGCTTGGCTAATCGGTTTGCTCATTTCTATGTGTTTCTGAGGTTTTGCCCACCACAGCCCTGCCCACATGTGGGCACTATGCTGGACAGGCTGTCAGGGAATGGAATGAGGAGCTTCTTCAGAGGCAATCATGATTTGTCATGGCTTGTTCCAGCTGTGGCTCCCTCACACCACAGTTTTCGTACTCTCCATATTTTTTCACTTCTGTCATCACCTGAAGATGAGTCCCATTTAGATGGGAAGTTTTCCATTTAAAATCTAGGTCTATTCTGTCCTGTCACAGGAAAAGTTCTGTGTTCGGAGTGGCGGTTAACACTGCTTGTGTCTGAGCCCCCTGCAATAGGGTCAGAAACAAAAAGAAGTTGAATGGGCTGGTCTTGAGATGCAAACCATTCACCACCTGGCATGGAGCGCTCTGGGCAGAAACTGCTGTGTATCACTGGCCGAGATCAGCTGTAACCTGATGACACGGTGATGGCCACGCTCCCTTCTCTCCTCATCCCTATGCTGGGTGCTTCTGTGTTGCCACACCAACTCCACTATGGCGGGGACTATCCGGCATATCACAAGGAAGGAGCACATATGGAGGGGGGCTGGAGAGGCTCCCCCAGCTCTGGATGGTCCTGCAGGGCTCCCTGCAGCAAGGCTGAAGGCCCTGTCATGATACAGGGAGTATACCCTGGAGACTTCCTGCAGCCACTGGGAAGTGCCAGGAATGGACAGCACTGTGACCTGCAGTTCATTGCCCAGCTGTGTCTGCTTCAGCATTCCAGCACAGATGGTGGCCCCATCCGACACCCAATGCCAGGGTGGCTGGGACCTTGCATCTCTGCCTTCCTGGTGGCAGCTGTACCCTGTTCCCCACTGCTAGGCATTTGCTGGCTCCCTACCCTGGTGGTGCTACTCCCAACAATCCTGAGCATAGACAGGAGTCAAAGTTGTTTTTATTTATTCAAATCCCGTTTAGCATCCATCAAGCTTAAAAATCACATGATTACCTCTTGTACAATTTTGTTTCATAGGAAAGTAATTAATTTAGCAATTAAGCTGTGCCCAGAACAAATGATGTAAGAGCACTCTGTGTGGGCTAAATCAGTACCTGCTGGGACACAATGCTAGCATCTGTCTGGTTTAGTGACATTTATTTTAAACAGTCAGAGTGGAGATGCTGCACCCTGTGTAATTTTACTGATGGCTTCATCCCAACCAGAGACCCAGAGTCGACTCAGTAGTGTCCGCTGGAGCATGCTCCATTTGGTCAGCAGTGAAAAAGAAGCTTACTCTGATGCCTCTTCTCTGTGTCAGGGAGGGTGTTTTAAATTTGAGTTTGCTGGCCAGGTGGGCATTGTTTATGCCTCAAGCAGTGTGGGAAGCTCTGGAGAAAGAAATGCTGCTCCTGAGAGTGTGAGTTACTTCAGCTATTTAGATGAACATTTCTATTGTATCAGTGCACTGAATCTTCCTCCAAATTTCTAGAGCGAGGCTTTCTACCAGCACTGGAAACTGCCAAAGGGCCTGGTGGGAGGGAAGTGTCCTGCCCCATTCTCTCAGTGGTGTTACTACCCTAAGGGATTTGCTCCAGACAGAGAGCTCCGCTTCTGGAGAAGGGTGATTTTTATGGTAGGCAAACACAGGTTGCCATGGATTTCTGGCTGCTGAGGTACATTCTCTGTTTCCCTAAGGAGCCTGTAGCAGCAGGCAATGTGGTGTTACATGGGAAAGACTCTGTTTTCCCTTGGTGGGAAGAAGGCTGCAGGTCTGGGGCAGAAACCCTCCTGCTGATGTGTTGAGGGGAGCACTGGGGGCACCCCACGTTTCCAGATAGAGAGGGTGTTTCTGTTTTTGCTGACTCTGCCCACAGGAAGGGTGTCAGCATGGTGCTGGAGTAGAATCACCTTAAAGGCATATTTTTGAGAGGAAATTCTATAGAAGGAAGCGTGTTTATGTCTGTGATGCTTATTTTTCTCTGTAGGAAAAGAGATATTGTTTAATGTAGTTACTCGTTAACTATGTATTTAGTGGGTCTAGTTAATCTTGACTGTTTCATTTCCTAGGGGACGAGACGTCAACAGCTTCAGAAAAATTTGACAGCTTAAGTTTTCTTGCAACTTTGATAAAATGCTGTCAGCAGGACAGCAGAGCATTCCTTAGGCCTGTCTCCAATCTGTATAGCCCTAACTATTGCTCTTAGTTTCATGGGAGAAATGAACCTTGTCTACTGTTCTTTTGACCTTTGTGGGGTGATAACTATACAGAGAATGATATGTTTTCTCTGGGTCATACGAGAAGACTCTTTGACACGAGCTTGGGAGAGCTGATCTGGGCAGCAGAAGGTTGCCCAGTCCCTTGCCTAACTTCCAGCTGTGGATGCTGTACATCTACAAAGGGCAATTACACCTTCAACTGAGGTGAGTGTGCTTTGTTTTTATCAAAACTCATACTTTAAATAATTTCATTGGGTAGATTGTGCTCAAGTTCTGATGTCGTAGCTTTAAACTGTTCTGTTAGTGACATGAACTAGCCCTCCTTCCTACATAATGAATAGGAAGATTTAATAAAGGTTAGGGAAGTGGAAAGTAAGAAATAAGGCGATCAAGAATCACCAAGGATTAATGAAAGAGTCCAAGACCCTTATGTAAACCCCCAGGGAGAGCCAGGAGGTCTATAACAATGTAGACTCATCACCCAGTTTTTCCCCTCCTGCTGCTCCCAAGCTCCCATATGAAGGGCAGCCAAATTGCCTTTATAAGTGAAAGAAATTTCCATGTCCAGGAGAAAGCCTTGAAACTACTACTGCGGTTAATCTTAAAAATGAATCCCCAGGTGGCTGCGTGAAAGACTTCTAAAAAGCATGAGGAGGAAAAATATCTTTTTTGGAGAACAAAAAGAAGAAATAATTTAAGTAATCCAGTCCAAAACAGATCTATATTTAAATGCATGCCTGACCTTGTAGGACCAAGCTGACCTTTTGGAGTTACAGGGCTAATAAGTAGTATTATTAGCCACTGTGATGCCACTGTGGAGCCTGTGGCTTTACCTGGTCCTTGTCTGCTCCTTCAGCATTCTTGTATCACTGACTTTGGTGCCTCGAAATGACCTTGTCTCTCTTCTTTCTTACACTTGTGGTTACTCATGGACTTTACATGGAAGCTGTAGACTGTGTGTATTAGAAGGTCAGATTTCTCTCTCTCCCATGGGTGTTAAGAGTTTCAAGATGAGGACATGTTAGTTTACTTAGCAGCAAAGAGCTCCCTAAGAGACAGAAGTGGCTGGAGCCACACTGCACTTCTTCATGAGGACCAAAAAAGCAATTGAGGGGACGGCTGGGATCAGTCTAGATCTTGGTCCTGCTCTATAGCCATCTCCTTTGTGGGAAAAGCAGTGGGGAAGCAATTTGACCTTAATAAGCGATAAGCATAGCGTGTTCTTGCTACAGTTTTCTTTTAAGCCTGGTTCTGTTTTCAGCATCCACAGAAAGGCCGGTGTGAAAGCCTGACTCCCACAGGCCACTGGGGCGTCCCAAGTGTGCCAGCCTGAGGGCATAGGGGACAGCAGGAATTCACAAGTCAGCACCATAGCTGAGGTGGGGCTCTTGAAACCATATCCCAAGGCATGTTTGAAGTCTGGTCATCCCTGGGTAATCCTGGAGTTTTGACCAAGCTCTTGTTATTCACAATCCATCAGTGGAGTAATCCTAAATAAATATTTGTGTGTACAGCAGTACTTGGATATTTTTTGTTTACAGGGCAAGCTCTGTGAGTGCTCAGTGGTGTGGCTGTGCCATTGCTTTTTATTTTGGATTTGTGGAGGCATTTGTTCTTTTTTCTTCCCCACTTATTTTGTTCCTTTTTCTTCAATTTGCACCTGTTGTGACTGGACCCTGATTCAGACTGAAGAGGCAGCATGTGCAGAGCTTATGGTGTTCACTTACAGGAGAAGGGAGCTAGACCTATTTTCTTGCTTAATATCCTGCTGTGGGACACAGGCAAACCAAATTCTGCCTCTCTTCAACCATCCTGCTACAGCTGTTGCCTTCTGCCTGAACTGAGCTATTGGCCTTTCTGCATGGTGCAGATGTACCATGAAAAGTTCAAGAGGACTGTTGAAAAACCTTTGATAATTTGTGTACTTTACCCATCTGCCATCACCTCTGGCAGCTTATTAAGCTCATGTGGGCTGAGCTCTGCCTAGAGGAGCAGCCTCCATGTAGCTGGATCCCAGTTTGGGTACCAAACATATTCCTTGTCTTCATGAATGTTTTGCTGAGTTTCTGGGCTGGTGGAAACCTCGTGGGTTTGAGTTCCACTGATATATTAGGCACTGCTGTGCTTTGGTTATTGGCATTCCTGTGGTCAGCCCTCGTGCCCGGGGCTTGTCCAAGCACCCAGGCCATGGCAAACCAAACCCAGCAGTGCAGTGTTTTTGTCTTGTTTTAATTAGAGTAGGACATAATTATTAACAGCATGTTTTTGTTTCCATTTGTTCATTCTGGCAGCAACCAAAGGAGGCCATTATCTCTACAAGAGGATGTTTCAGCACGTGTTACCGTAAATAAAGCTAACAGGATCAGTGCAAAGAGAGGATCACATTCTCTTAAGGACAGCAATCGATAATCAGGCCGTTACATGCCAAATCCTTTCAAGAGGCACGATAGCAAGTCTGCACTCAGATCAGCCTTTAATCTTGCAGGATCACTGAGCTCTTTACTGGCTGATACATTTCCCACAGCCTGTCTGCCTGTAGCACAGGTCTCCCTGTAAGACATGGCAGTTTGGAGACAAAGAAAGTAAGCTGATGCCTTTTGGGCAATATATTTCTGTATGGATTAGGCTAAAGATGGAAAGTCAGGTCTGGGTTTGACCAAGATAACGTTTCACAACCTTCCTTGCTCTGTGAACAGCAGCAACCTTGAGCACACAACATGTTCCTGGAAACTGTGTGCTTCTCTGGTCCCCTTAGCCAGGGACAGCAGCCTCAGTTTTAACTTTTCTGCAGGCCTTGGCTGCAAACAACATTATTCTTCGAAGCAAAATGCCACTGAAGACCTGCTCTTCATGCTGGCAAATAAAGTACTTAAGCAATGTGATATTTGTTAAAACAGCAAAATATCTTCTAAAAGTGTTTTTGTGGAACACTGGGGGAAAATGATAAGATGTATACTGGAGGGTGTTCATTCCTGAGATCTCCAGTGTTTCCTATAGTCCTCATTTTAGTGTGTCTTTTGATCTTTGCTGTTTGTCCCAAAGCTATGGGCATTAGGTGAGCTCCTCAATTTTATTTTATAAAAAAAAAAAAAAAAAAAAAAAAAAAAAAAAAAAAAAAAAAAGAAGAAGTTCATAGCCCTCAGGGATTTGCAGAAAAGTTTGAAAATGTGATCATAAACTTCAGGAAACCAGACTGCAATTAGGAAAAGCTCAAACATTTATAATTTTCTTTAAAAAAACAGAAGAAAACCCCTTGCAATTTTAAAGCTGTGATTCTCTGGATCTTGATGCATAATTTTTGAGTATGTGGGGTTGGCAGTGCTGGAAAGGATGCTTTTCTCTGCCCTGATCATGTTTTTTTCTGCTGGGAATTTTATTTACCAGCTACTTTAACTGTTTCTGCACCTTTTTCTTGGCTGGCCTGTCCTGCAGCTGAGGAACCCTCTCCATCTCTGGGGGCTTGGAAGGGCAGACGGAGATGGTGGCAGCGGTCAGGATCACCGCAGAGGCTGCCCTGCATGGGTGCATCTGGCCATGTGGTTCAGACCTGCTGGGCAGCAAAGCCTCTCCAAGGTCTTAAAGCCTGCTCTCCTGGTGAGGAGAGTCCTGGGGAGATCACCTGGGACAGCAGCAGCTCTTGTCCTCCTCTCAGTTGCAACCAAGTGCATGGCTCCTCCTTTGCAAGCCAACAGCTTGTCTTGGAGGATTGTCTCCAGTGGGCAAAGCTTCTGTAGGGATGTAATCTTCCCTGAAGGCTTACAAAGGGAAGGGGCTATTTCCTTCAGGTGCTTGTTTGCATGGTGTGGTGACTGCTGTGAGCGGGGCCCCCAGTGTGACCCTGCTCTTTGCAGGGCATGGAAAGGCATGATACCTTCCCAGAAATCCTGCAGGGATGCAGGAACACCGTTGGGCTCTTTCCTCTGCTTCTTCCTTCCCAAGCCACCCTCCTCTGGGCACTGCTCTTTCATATTTTTAGAAAGTACAGTTGATGTTTTTCAGCTCTGAATTTGCACGTCAGCAGCCATTGCACAGTGAATTCTCAGGGGCCTATTTATTTCGCAAGCAAGGGTCGTACCCTGAGACAGTGTTTTCCACCACATTGTCAAGAGCACCCTGGGCTCTAGCTGCTTCAAAATGGCAGCTATTGTTTGGTGTCCCACGTCCTACTTGAAACCAAGCCTCCCCTGGACCTGTTTTAATAGCTCCACTTTGTGGTCTATTTATCCCCACATGCTTTCAGGGTGAGTGGGGAAGGGCTCATTCCTATTTTAGGGACAGATGCAGCAACATGCTGCAAGCAGCCCCTTTTTCTGCCTTCCTCACAGTTTTATGGGGTAGTCCTAGTTTAATCCAGCACAAGTCCCTTGCAGAACTGGAACATCTGGAGACTGGCCATGGTTGCTACACCAAGCTCTGTGCTATGAGGGCATAGCCCATTGCATCCTTTGCAGAATGATGCCTGCAATAGGGAAATTATGCTTCGCCCTGCTCAATCAAAGATTTGAATTTATAAAAAGTGAAATATCAGCCCTCTGGGTAGAGGAGGGCGACAGTGAGCAGAGCTTTGTGTCACAGCTTCAGGATGATCATGGAGGTGGGGGGAGTCGTTTGTCACTTTTGGTCAGAGAAGATAGCAGGACCAGTAGAAAACTTCAGAGGCTACAGCCTGGCTGGGCAAAGTCCAAATCTCCTTCACTACCCAGGATCTCCTCCTTCACTGTCTGGGCTTGGGGACTCTATGTGTTAATATGGCACACCCATATTAAGATTGTATACCCATCATTTCCCACAAAAATACTTATTACAGGGAGTTTGTTTCTCTACCCACCTATTGTAAGCACCTGTGGATTGTGTGGATCCTCTGAAACCATCTTTAACTAACCTGTGCCGTGTTCAACTAATCCTGCAGGGCTCTGAGTGTTTTCACATTTTCCTAGCTGGGCTGAGCGCCCTTCCAAACCAATAGCCTGAATGCCACCCATGCATATTCATGTTCCCTGAGAAATGCAATTGTAACTATTTCAATTATGAGAACCCTCAAAACCATAAATGTCTCCAAAGTTGCAAAGAATGCCCCAACCTGGAACTGAAATCACCCTGGCTCACTAAAATTTGCCCATTACATTTTCATGAGTTTGCCTGTATCCAATGTTTCAGCTAGAACAGTGTTCTTACTTCCAGCATGTGCATGTGTGCAAGGCACACTATCTGCTTACCCTGACATGATGTCCACGCTTCCAGACTCAACCAGGTCTCCTTTCTCCCACTAAGTCTTCTCCCTAGGTAAACAACTCTTTTGGTTTGTCCTGTTCATACCTGTATTTGCTCATCCACTTTGAAAATAAGCTCTCCATAACCTGGGATAATATTGGTGTTTATTTTGGCTGGTTCGGGGTTTTGCTAGCAAAGAGGGCAAAATTCTTGCGTGGTTCTTAGGCCAATGTGCTTTACTTCAGACACAAGCAAACTCTAGTCACACTTAGCTTGTGCAAGTGGCTGTGCAGCGCTGCATTCGCATACAGAGGTAAATAAAGGGTAATGATAATGTTGCCCAGAAGGCTTAAACATCAAAGGCCAAGGAGCAGTTAAAATGTATTACGAGCTGTTGGCAGCGATTGTGGGGGGTATTCGTGTGTTGCTGATTTGGACAGCCAGAGTAAATGAAAACCCTCTGGATTAATTGGTACCCCAAAGAGATTTAGAGGAAAATAAAGGCTGATGGAAATTGACAAACAAGGGAAAACACAGATAGCTGGGTGTGTTGACCTGCAGTGGGGCACTGCTGATTCATTTGCAGCTCCCTACTGTGCCCTGGGAAGCCAAGCAGAGCTGGGGGTGCCCTGCCAGCAGCTCGCCTAGTGCTTTGGTGGGAGCAGGCTGAGCCCCAGAGGCATCATCTGCAGTGCTGCTATTTCAGCACATCCAAGTGTGTAGTTAAAGGTGAGACTTACCGGGTGTCTTGTGACACCTGGACACAGGACAAGAGTTTAATTACTTTTAATGATGTGGGGTGCTAGGGGAGGGAGAGGAGGCCTGGTATCACAGAGTGACTGAGGTTGGGAACTTCATGATTGATTTGCACAGAGACTGCTGGCTGAATCAGATGACAACCAATATGGTGAATACTGAATGATACAGTCCCATCTTTTACTAGGATACCTGTATTCCAATTACTATTATGTGGTTTATTATTAATGCTTCAATTTTACATAAAGAGTGTTACACTGACAGCCATGCAAACTCCAGTCGTACTGGCTCACTCACTTTTTAGTTGACCAGATGGAGCAGGACCACTCAACACAGCACTAGCTGAGTTGTGCCCTTGCAGACCCACCTCTTTGACGGTTGGGGCAGGGTACTCATGCTGATGACAGTGGGGAACTGGTGCTGACTTGGGGGTCTTTCACATGTCCACACTGGGGCTGGAAAAGAGGGTTCTTGTCTTGCCCCTGATCAGCAGCTGTTTTTGCCAATGAGTTTCCAAAAGAATTTTGCCAAAGCCAATAGGCCACGACTTGTGCTTGTATCAGTGATGTCTCATCTGGACATCACACGGTTCATCCTGTCGAGTAATTCCTCAGTCCTCTTGCCTTGGTCCTACCTACTCATCATTGACTCTGGTAGAGACACTTTTTTATTGCTAGTCTTGACTAGACACCTCACAGTTTGTGTGGTTTCCTGTTCTGTTACACCAGTTCCCCTGCAGCTCAAGAGTTTGCTTCATTCCTGTACCCAACTCCATGCTTTGCATATTTCTCTCTTGCAGACTTGAGGAATCCTTGTCATGGGAAGAAAAGCACAGAAGGTGATGTGCTTCTGGTCACCTGATGACTTACAAGGTCTCTTTCTTCTCACATTATCCTTTCAGTGCATGGATGAAAGGAAGGAAAAGGCTGCTCAAACTGGCAGGTTCTCCTAACCATGTGTCCTTCTGGCAGCTGTGTGGATGCGATGGGGATGGAAGGTAAAACAACAATTCCAGAGGGGCCTTTCTCAGTCCTTTTCCTGAATATACTTATGAGAACAATAGATGAGTAAAGTTGGCAGAAAGACAGAGAAGAAAAGCAAATTGTTGTATGCACAGGTAGGACTGCTCATCTCCTCGAGACCTTGACCCAAGTCTGTCAGGCTCCTGTCTTGTCTCCCAGCTCATTGTCACAGATGATTTAAAGCATGGCTCAGCTCTGCAACCTTCGTCACTACCCATCCCACTGTCCTTCTGCTGGCAGTCTCCTTCATTCTTTAGGTGTCACAGGAAAAACCTTGCTTTCTGCTTGTGCTGGGGAGCATTGTAACAGGGTGGGAGAAGCAGCAGTCTTCTACACATTTTTAATATAGTGAGGCCCTAAGAATGAGCACCACCAACTTATTTCTGACATGTTCCTGAAAAATTCCTTGCTTCTCCCATAAATCCGAGACATATATAAGGAATCTGTTTTCAGTCTTAAGCTAAAAAGAAGCATCAATTTTAAAATCTATTTTTAAAGCAAATTGCATTTAATTTATAATGTTAAACTGAAGTTTTTAAAGTGCTGACATCCTTGAAAAAAGAGAACATTTCATTTTTTGGTGACTAATGATGAAATGTTTTCTAAAGGTGACTGAGCATAGCACAAAGTGTCCTAAATATATTTATTAGCTTATTAAACATAATTAATTGAATCTGGTTGCTAATATTGGCTATGACTTCACAAGTGAAAAGCACTTTTGGTTAGCTAGACAGTTACTTATGAAAGAACAAAAATTCAATATTAAAACATATGCAGCTTACTGAATAATCATGTTATTTGTCAGACAAGCAGAAGAATCATCATTGAAGTGCTCCCTAAGTGTCAAATTGGGTAATATACATAATTAGGCCCCTTTGATTAGATATGTGCCCATGCTAACAGCTGCACTCAAGATCCACATATTAGTACAGCCTTGAAATAATCTTCAAAGGGATTGATGGCAACAGAGCACTTCTGAAGCTTCACTGGGAAGGCTTTTGGAACATAACCTACACACCAATTTTCTCTGTTCCTCTGGTTATTCTTTATTTTATCTTATTATCTTCTATTTTTAAAACAATGCATGCCTTGGTTCTCAGAGGTGATATACTGCTTCCACGAAGTGTTGCTACACTTTTATCCCTAAAAGGAAGATCTCTTACTCATCTGCATCATATTTTAAAGCCTAAAGCCTTCCTATATTTAGGGATGAAACTCAGCAATTGGCAAGGCTGCTGCAAGCTGTTTCTAGGAGGTGGCAACGATCATTACCTGAAAGACAGCCTGTCTCAGATCCACTCTTCTCTCTCAGCCCAGGACAGCCCAGTGATGGATAAGGTCTTCTGGATGTTCTTTTCGGATTTTGCAAAAGCCTTGTGAAGAAACTGCAAGGTCTCAGCAAGAAGACTGACTTTGCATCAGATCCAAGCCTCAGAGAGCCTCAAGCCCTGAGCTACTGCCAACCCACAGGGAATGAGTCTGAAGGGTACTGTTTGGCAACAGTGGAACCCAAGAGAGTGTTTAGCTGTAGATGCAATATGAATTGTTCCTGCAGTTTATTTTTACATGCTTAGAGGGTGAATGAATTTGGAAGATTTGGAGAGAATCAGAGAATTAGCAGAATGAATTATTATTGGTTATTTATACAAAATGAGAAATATATTTCCTGGTAGAACATTGTGTGTCCAGGGATGATGAGAGGTGCTTTTGCAGAAATGCTGGTGGGGAAATATTTAAAAGAAGATTTTTTTCCCCCAATAAGGAAGAGACCAAGATACAGAAAAGTTCCCCAATATGGAGGCACCATGGAAAGATTGGTCTGTAGCAGGGAAACCTAGGCAGGAGATGCTGAGAGTCTGGCAGGAGAGGACTGTGAAGCCCCATTCCTGGCCAGTTTGGTTTGGAGGGCTAAAGTATATGTGGCTAATCTTTTCATGTCAGCTATCCCACTGTGCAAGAGAGCTATAGTGTACCCCTATGAGGACATTTCACCTGTAGAAACAAGATAGCAAGATAGGACCTGGCACCAAGGGACCCTCTTTGGAAACACGTGGTAGAGACAAAATCAACACTGAAAGACTGTGAAAAATAAATGTACAAAGATATTCTAGGATGTCTTTTAGCTTTTTGAAAGAAGAGGGATACCCTAAGCAAATGGGTAAACAGAACAGCCAGAAAGCTTTGGTAGGCATGGGAGGAGCACAGGGGAAGACTTTGTTCCCTGGTTTAGCTGCTTCTTGGCACAGAAAACGGGAGCACTTTCTCCAAGGGGCCAGTGACACAGCCAGCCATGTTTGTAGCCTTCAGCTGCATGGCAAGAACACTGAAAGTAGTGTCCATACAAAGTCATCAAACTGTTACTGGATGCAGCATTAGGATCTCATCTACTGAAGCAAAAATAGACACGTGGATCCACCTTGGGCATGCAATACATGATTAAGAGCATGTCACCTTTCTCCATTTTAGCGTGTTTTTAACCATGCTCAGTGGACAGGATCATCAGAATATAGATTAACATTACTGGTCAAATTATATGAAAGTTGTGAAATTTCTAAACCCTTCCCTCTTTTCTCTAAGTAAGTGCTGGTTTTAACATTGCTTCTCAAACAAGGAGATTATTCAAACCAGTTTCTCGTTAGTCACATCATCACCAAACTATGAGGTCTGAAACAAGTCAGACCAAAGCCTGTGTCTGCCCTAATTGAGAATAGGAGGAATCTAAAGGGACCTGGATTGTGTGCGAACCCTGTGGTGATGGTAGTGATGGCAGTGCCAGCCCTAAGCATTCTGTTTTTAAGGTATCTTGTGGACATCCATTGCTTATGTTTGACAGTGCACTTGTACTGGGTATTCCCAGGCACATGGGACCTTCTACAGACTGAAGGGCATCCTCAGGTGATGGGGCTGGAGGCCTAGCAGCTATATGGGTGGTGAAATCAGCCTGGAGAGAGTCCCGAAGTGCCACAGGGGAAAGGCACAGTGGATGTGCTGCACATGTGAATGAGAGTGTTCACACACACACATGCGTGTATATGCAATATTGGTCCCTCCTGTGATAAATGGCTCTAAGTGAAGCTTTGTGAAATTTTGAATTTCTGTTTTTCAGAACAGAGCAAACTGTGGCAAAAAACCAGGAAAAATTGTTTCCTGGAATTAAAACAGTCATGTTCAGAAATGTTTCCATGTTCCGTTTTGACATTTTTTGGATCAAAGTGAAGCATTTTGACATTTGTGAGGTAGGAATGTTTTGTTTCAATTTGTTGAACTGACATGAAACATTTAGTTTCGAGTCTGCTTAACATTAAAGTAGGCAGCGCCTTTCCTTGGGTTTGGGTCCCATTCTCTCCTCTGGGCTGTGCTCCCTGGGAGCTCTGCCCAGCTCCCATGAAGCTTGGGCCAGGTCCATTTTGTTCTCAGTGAATGCAGCTCAGCCGCAAGCCCCATGCACAGGAAGAAGAGAGGCCTTTTCGGGAAAATTCATTTCAATGCTAAACTCAATTGAAATGAAAAATTTTGGGACAGTTGAAGCAAAGCGCTCCGTTCCAGATCACCTCCACAAAACACCATTTCTTGTCAGCAGCATCCCTGAATTCCCAGAGGCACTTTTTGTGTTGCAGAAGCTGTGCTCTGATTAAAAAGGTCATCCAGTGAGTGCCTGCATAGGTTTTGATGCGATCTGATCTACACCAATAAGCTCCTGGGGGTCTGCAGACTGGCCCCCTGGACTTAGCGACAGAGCTGCCCTTTAGTGTCGGTCGGGCAGATTTCCCGACAAGCTAAAGATCTCCACTCATCCTCTCAGAGGCTAGCTGGGGCCGGGGCAGCCTCTGGCTTGGCTGTCTCTGAGGAAGGTGAGTGGGCTGCAATAGGGACAGGAGTTTCTCTTGGCAATTCAGCAGACTCCTCTCTTTTCTGGAAGTGGCTGTAGGGTCTTCCTGGGATTTCTCATGAATTTTACCTAAAAGTAAATTCAAAAGTTGCATTAGCTCATTCTCAACAGCTCTCTATAAGACCAGGCAGGTCCTACGACTTTCTGTGAGGGATAATTGAATCCCTTGCCCTCCCCCTTTCCTGGGCAACAGCTTCAAAAGATCTCTGATTTTGCTCAGCAATCAAGCAATCTCATTTGCAAAACAACTGCAATGGCCCTGCAAAAGCAAAAGGACAGCTCCTTTGTTAAATAGTGCCTTTTGGTGACACAAAAGAACCATAAAGGTGATGAAGCTGCAGCCGGGACAGCGGCGTTTCCTGGACTGTGCAGTCTGGCTTCCCTCCCCCTCCCGGCTGTAATTTCAGACTCCGAGTCTAAGAATTATGCAGGGCTCAAACCCAGGGAGAACAAGGTGCATTGCAACTATTCTTAGCTCCAAAAATTATTCCTGGCTTTGCTTTGAAATCTGAACCAGGGTTAATTTCTCTCCCCCTTCCCCCAGTCTGTTTCCTCTCCTCTTTCATGTACCTATTTGCATAGACTGTCATCGTAAGAATCTCCATTAAAATTGAAAGCCTCCTTCCTGCATGTCACCTCTCGCAGCCCCCTTCCGCTTGCCCTGCATGACTTTTGGAGGGCTGGAGAGCAAAGGTCCTGTGCTAGCATCGCCTCCTGAGCCCTGCATTCCCCCTGCCCTCAGTCCTGCTCCTCTGTTGCTATAGGAACATCCATCAACTTGGGAGTGCCAGAGAAAAAGAACAGAGTTATCTTAATTATTTAATGATTGATTAATATATTTTTATAGAGCACTTCAAAACCATGCATAATTTTATGAATTGTTTATTAACTGGGCAAGTGATATAATTTACTGAACATCCTCCACTCTCATTGTTTTCAGTGGGAGGAAAAGTCGGTAGGCAGCTTGCAGGTTTTGTGATAGTTACATTACTAAGTGTACTAGTAGTTCTGCTTCAGGGAAATAATTTAAGTATGAGCCTTTGCTTCACGTTTTGTTTCGTAGGCAGGGCTGCTCCCAACACCTGCCACTGAGGTTACTCAAATGCCTCCATTGTAAAGACCTATGTTCAGCTGGTTTTTGGCAGGTTTTACCCATCTGGAAAGGATTGTGCTTACTTCTCCTTGAGGCTGAATACAGAGGGGAGGCAGAGAGTGCTTGCAGCTGGTGGTGCAGCATGGCTTGTTGGTACAGGGAGCCTCCTGGCTTAGCTGCTCCTCTCTGCTGAGTGACTGTGGTTTTGTTAGGAGGCCTTGGAGGCTTTTGCTAAAGTTTGTGTGCTTGTGCCTGTAGTAGCAGGATGGAAGGACAGTATAAGCAGGGTCTGTTGTCCGGGTGAGGAAGGGTGGAAGGAGGAGCATGGTGCTGGTGTTGTGTGTGCTGCCTTGTTCCCATGTCCAGTTGAGGATGTCAGCTAGAGCAACGTTTGCTGCCCATGCTGGTTGTAAATCCTGGTCTCTGCCCACCCTGACCCAGGTAAGCTGCTGAAGCCAGCCTGTCTTTGCTCTCTTCAACCTCCCCAGGACCTTCTTTGGGTCTGACTTCCTTGATGCCTGACTGCTCTCTGGCTTCCTCCCTCTCCTACTGACAAGCTGAGACCATCCCACAGTGGGATGCAAAGTAAATGCAGACTGACCACCTGAAGAGCTCTGCATCACCAAGCATGGGGTGAGTCTGTGACATGCAACACACAGTGCCATGCGTGCTTGAGAACTGAGACTTGCAGTCGGAATGCCTTTGCTATGAGCTGTCACGTACTTTGCAGAACCATAGGGCTGCTATGACCTCGGTGTCAGGCCTGACTGTCCCTGTAGGTGCAGGAAGTGAGACATGATGACGCAGCAGGATACAGGCAGCTGATAAAAGCTGGTGCTCCCTGCCTGACTTGGCCAGGCCCCTTACCTGAGTAAGGCCTGCAAGACCACGGCTGCTGTGATGGAGGATGATTAGGAGGGTATATATATATAAATATATATATATATATATATAGCTGGTGCTCTTGGAGAGCATTTCCTCAGGTAATGCTTGTTATGAAGCACTAAAGACTTGTGATGCAATGGGCTGTGTGTTGATCAGGTGTGTGATGTATGCAGCTCCCTAGCTTTTAAGAGGAAGCACAAAATGAATAAGGAGACTTGCAAAACAAAACAGATTTACTTTGGATGCTCACTGGTATTTAGGAGGTATTAAAGCCTTGTTCATTTTCAGGACTCTTGGACTTCTCAGCCCCTGTGAATCCATCTTCTGTAGAGTAATCATCCCATAAAGATGCCTTTATATATGGCAGCCACCCTTGAGGTTTTTTTCTGGATTTTAAATATGGATTGTTGCAGAAAAGTCTCTGCTCCACCTGAAGAAAGCAGTAGCAGGATTAGGTTGTTATTCTGTAGTAGTTCAGCACTAGAGGGGGATGTAGCACGTGCTTTCCAGCACATTTCATACATGCATGCAACAATATTTTACAGTGGTGTTTATAAGGAGGCTGTTTATATAATTGCCAACATGAAGATTTTTGTCTTGCAGGGGCAATTTTCTTGCACAGGATAAAAATCAGAGAGGCTGCTATTTGCCGAGACATAAAAGACTGTGCTTGTAGTCAATTAATTTTGTTATGTGTTATGTGTGTCTTGGATATTGGGGCCTCAGAACTTCAGGCAATTCTCGTGTCTTTTTTTTTTTTTTTTTTTTTGGTGTGTCTGACATGAGAAAACAGAGGCTGTTCTTTAGCTTGGCTGTAGCTCTAGTCCAGGCTGTTGGCTGGAAGGGTCTGAGCTCTGCCCTTCTTACCACGGTAGTGCCCTTCTTGCTTGTGGTATTGAGTCCTGCAAGTGGCTGAAAAAAGATATAAAGCCAAATCCACCCAACTACACTTGCTTGGAAAGTTGCATGTTCTCAACAAAAATGGCTCTTTGACTTTGAAGACATCTGAGTAATAAAAACCTGTTGTCCACTTCATGCACAAGTAAAACACTCGGAAAAAAAAGCTACTGCTTTGAGGTTTTGCAGAAGCTGGTCAAATTTCTGTCCTCTTCTCTTGTTTTCCTCCTCACCTCCAGTGAGCTATTCTCATTCCACGTTTTACTCGTTTTACTCAACAGTGCAGAAGTGTGCCAGCGTGAGGAGACTTGCTAGCCCGTTAGGCCAGGGAATTTCTCCTGGTGTGTTTGGGTATGGTATCTTGGGAGAAGATACCACAGCTGGTGTATGCTACATATATGCACAAACATGGCTGTAGTAGAAAGTGAGAATGTCACTTGCTGAAGAAAACTTGTATTCGGGCCAGTGCGTAAAGACTGTCACAGATCCAAATTTTGGCCGTTTGCTCTGTGGGAGATCTTCGTGTGCACCCCCGTGTCCTCCTCTCCTCCTTGTACCCTGGACATTGCACGGGGCTGCGGTTCCCACCTCGCACCGAGGGCTGGCTAGAAAAGATGTCCCCATTCACATTTCCACATAGAAATTTTTCTTTCCCTACTTTTAGTGCCTGTAATTACCTCTTTACTCCAGTGCCAGCAATCTTCCATCAGGCATCATTATTAACAGAGAGAAAAGGGAAGGGGAGGGAGGGAGAGAGAGAGAGCGCCACAAAACTTAATTTAATCGCAGCACCCCATGCTCAATTTAACAGACACAACAGCTCAGAATGGGGTCCCTGTGCAACGGGAGGGCAGGCAGTGGAGCGTCCCTGGAAAGAATTAATTGTGGATGACAATGTGTAAACAGTGCAGATGAATAGGGCATGCAGGTGTGAGGCACCGGGGCCATCCCGGGGACTTTTTCACACGAATTTCAGCTCCTTCACTGCTGACCTGCTCCCGAAACCGTGATTAGTGTCGGCGTTGGGAAACCATTCAGGGTGTCAGGATTTGGCACATATTAACTAGCCCTGGGGGAGAGGGGAGGGAGCGCATGGGGGCTATGAAAGGAGGAAGTCTGGCGGACAAGGGGATTGTTAAAGGGCCAGAAAATCCTCATTGCTCCGAGGTGCCCTCGCTGCTTGGAGGAAAATGGAAGAGAGATGAAGCAGAATAGAACTCCAAGGCACCCTAGTCCTTACTGAGCTATGTGGAAAACAAGGCAATGCATTGCAGAATATTTTTCTCAGAATGTCATAAATATTAGTGATTAATGACTTTTTCTTAGCTGTCGCTTTCACAGTTCTAGACACTTCAGCTTGAGAGATAAACAGTCAAAACAAGCAGGAAAGTTAATGACACAGCAGCACTGAGAACAGGAAATATCTCCTGCGTAGCATATGGATGTTATTCAGCATGCAAAATTCCACTTCATCAATACATACTCTATAAGTACAGTGATACAGACAGGGGTTGTATAATGGGCCCAATTTACCAAGCATGAGGTTAGACACTCTTAAATTATGTTCCCTGTGCCAGCCTGGGAACATAAAAAAGAGGAGTTTTGTGCAAAGAGTAGACTACGTTACTGATGTCTTTTCCCACTCATGAGAATGATGCAAGGGGAAGGATAGAACTTGATGAGGACTACCCTGAATACCAGTGCCTCTGCCAGACTCTGTTATGCTTTTTCTTCTTTGCTGGAAATCCTTTCCCTGCCTGTCTTGTGACTTGGGCAGCATGGCAGGGGTGCTGTGTAGGTGCCTGCTGAGATTCTTAGCTTTGCAATCCCTCCCTAGATCACTGCAGCCCAAAGGCTTGGGCCTCCAATAATGTACCAAAAATAAAAGTACCTATGTAAACGTACCTATGGATGTGAAGGTGAGGTTGGATTCTTGCTGGCCTGGTGATGAAAAAGGGTATTGCCATTGGTGCTGATTTGGCAGTGCAGACATCTGTGTGGGAGGCAGGATGGACCAGCCCCTTCCTGGGCTGTTTCCCGTTGGAGACATTAAATAGGTGGTGAGAAGGGGACACGAAATATCATCACAGAAACCTTGAAGGCCAGTATACCCAGGACAAATCACACCTCAGATTCAGAGTTGCACTTAGTCACTGTTGGAAAATTAGCTACTTATTTTGCTCACTAGCCCACACGTTTGTGACAGACTAGTTCAGCATCCTTTTGAGGAAAGTCTGGTGGTGGCTATCGCTGCCTTCAAGGGGTATTGAAGGGCTGAGGTCACACAGGGAATTTCCATGCTTTGGCAGTGGAAGTTATGCCTTTTGTCCTAATTGTGGCAATTGAAGATGATTTCTCTGGTAAATCACAGCAATGACTATGTGGGAAAGGTTGTGTGCTCAGTTAAAATGTTGGCAGAAGAGCAAAATTTGTTTGCTGTTAAGCCCAATGGTATCTAGATTCATAAGAAACAAGAAATAACGGCGTAGGCTTTATGCAGGGCAATCCTGCAGCTCTTGAGCTGGGACTCTCCCTGCCTAACAAGTTTCCCAAGAGCAGGATACCCAGCTGAAGCCGTTCATCTCAATTCTCTCTGTGACTCCAGAGTGTTCCGCACCTCACTTATCTGACATGCCATCAGCGGAGATGAACAACAGTTACTTCATTGCCATCTGCTTGACTGACTGCTTTTTCCAAAAATGATGATCAGTGCTACTAGAATTCCTTCCCCTGGTCTGCTCCTCCAAATGTTCCTGCCTCCCCACACCAAGATATCTGCCCTCTCAGAGTGCAGCTATCCCTGTGAAACTGTATGCTGAAAGGACTTCCTTCCTATGAACTGTACAAGGTAGTTCTTTTAAAAAACATCAGAATTAAGTTAATTCTGTAATGGCTGTTCTTGCCAAAATGAATGTGATATTTTCCAGCAGAGTGAGTTAGCTTTGTTGCCCCAGACAAATTCCAAGATACTGGCTTTCTGCAGTTTTCAGGAGAGGGTGTTGCATTTGCTGCAGTATGGCTGTTTCTCAGGGCCAAGTGCTCCTCATTCTTTTAAAGTCTTTTTTTGTGTGTTTGTGGTTTTTTTTTAATTATTATTTTGAGAGATATTTGCTCATCTTTCCAATTTTGCTTTTCAAGGAAGAATAATGTGCTCACCAGATACATAGCTGGTAATTTATCCACTGGAAGGGAGAGGTCTGCAGGAGCCAAAGAAATCAGCTCCACAGACACCTGACCTAGGGACTATTGCAGGACTGTCTCCAGGTAAGCTCTCTATATCCTACACTAGGAGCTAACTGTACCCTGATATACCTACAAAGACTGGCTTCTCAGTAAGGCTGCAATACTTCATCAGCCAGAGGACCCAACAAATGTTCTTCATTTGTACTTACCCTTGGATCACTGGATCTTCACTTGTACTATATTTAAGCCACTAGCTGGTATAGAACCAAAAAAGGCATTGTTGAATTGTGTTAGTTCAAGAGTGGAGGAGATGGGGCTGAGGGAAGGTAAGTAATTTGCAGGCAGTGAAAATGGGACAGTTGAAGAAGGTGAGGATGTGGGTCCCCAGTCAGTTGTGTTAAACTTAATACCATAGCTCTAGCTCCAATTTCTACAGAATCTTCACACCATGCTAAGTTGATATTGCACACAAAATATGCTCCTGTGGTGACAAATTGCTCTTTGTTGTAAGGATCTCTGACTAGTGCAGAGGTTCTCAGTCCTATGAGAAATCAGAGCAAGAAGGGGCTCCGGAAAGTTTAGAAACTGCACCTGGATGTACCTCTTCTCCAGCCAGCTCTATTGCTGTCTGTGTTACCAAGCATGGGATCAGAACCTGGCCAGGGTGGTGCTGAAGGGGCTGGGCTTCTGGGCACTGTGACCTTTGCAAAGGTACCGGTCAAATTATGGTGCAGGTGGGAGGATCTACTGCCCTTCCATGCTGCAGAAACCCTTACATACAAGCTTATTGTGACTGTGAATTGAGTGGTGGATTTACCTTCAAAAATCTGAACAGTTTACATCAGAATTCCTGATGGTATTCCTAAAATTATTGTGCGGTTCATGTTGCTCTTCTTACTGCTTTTACCTGACATCAGCTGCCCCTTTTCAGGACTGTCAGCTTGTTGATCAAGCCTAGACTCCAAAGCCTCCTGAGCCGTGTCTTATGATCCATCCCACTAGTTAACTAGGGGAAGAGGTCTACTCTGGAGGCAGATGTAGCTGAAAATCAACTTGGCTGCTTGACATTTCTTTTTAATGTGAGAATGTAGCTTGATGGGACAAAAAGAGAAATGTACTCTTCCCCCAAACCAAGGCAATAATATTGAAAAATCTCTATAACAGTGAGGAATAAAAACTCCAGGGTGGCAAAACAGATTCTGCTTACAATTAAATAAGAAGTCAACTGGATCAGTAGTTCAAACTGTGTAGAGTTCTTAATGGTGGTTCATTTGCCCAGCTCTGCTAAAGGCCCCCAGCATTCTCTTCGTTCTCACAAACACTTCTGCAGTGGATATTGGTTAGCATATCTGATGAATCTGATGATATGGAGTCCAGCTTTGCACATGTTTCTGTTCAAGAGGAGAGTATTCAGCAAAATACTTAGCTTCTTTCAGCCCCCTGCAAATGTCTGGGCAATATGGAGTTTTCCAAAGTACTCTTAGATACAGAATCTGAGTAACTTGTTTTCCTTGTGGTGAGGCTGGAGCAAAAGACACCTTCAGAAGAGGTTACAGCAGAGGGCAAGGAAACAGGAGCTCTAAAGTGAGATGGAGTGGTCTGCCTTAGGAAAGAAGAGCTGAAACTCTGGGTGCACAGGGCTACTGGCTTCTCTACATGAGGTCCAAGCTAGGACAAACCCTGGACCTGCCAGGGGAAGGAGACCTGGGAACATGGAGAAAAGGCTGTGAGGGTAAATTCAGTGCTCAGTATTCAGGCCAATGAGAGATGTTTCACAGCTTAATCTCCAGGGTCATTCATCACCTTTTCTTAGCTGGTCTGCTCACAAGTAGTGCTGGTGTGGCTGCACCACAGAAATGCAGTGGTATGGCAACACCAATATGGGGAAATTACGAAAAGCCAAGTCTCTGCTGGTTGGTGGGTGATCTGAGGTACAGTGAATGAAATGTTGTAGAGCTTGAATACAAAATATATTTCTCTTTAGTTGGAGATGAGCTGACTAATTTCAGTATAATAAGTTGATATCAAACCTTCAGCCAAAGTTCAGATGAAGTAAATTCTGAGAAACTTGCTTTTTCCTGACAAGTTTTTGAAATCTACATTTATATCTTCTGCTGGGAGTGCTTGCAGAACTGCTAACTATCACTTCAAAGAGTATATTTTGTATTTCCTAATCAAATGCCTGCAGTAAGGCAGGGGAGATGCGATGCAAATTATTTTCCTGGAAGACACTTGAGTGCAGACCATGAGTTTGAAGGTAAACAAGAAACCTTCTTTGGTGCCAGTAGTTTATTTGTATGAACTGAATTGAAAACAAAACCCAAAAAAATCTGAAATCCTGTCTGTTACACAGTGGTGGGCTGTTGCTAATGCCATCTGGTCTGGAACAGTCACCAAAGTGGTTATGCTGGGGTGCTCGGTCTGTCTGTCCCGATGTTTACTTGACAGCAAGTAGAAAGATCCTCCCTGCACTGCCAACCCCTGTCCTCTGCCTGGGGTGGAAGCAGGTCTGCTTCTGCTGGTATGGCCAAGAAACACAGGGTTTGATTCATTGTCTGGCTCCAGCTGCAGTGGTCAAGCGTTAGGGCTGCTTGACAAATATGCCCAGACACATGAAATTACATATCTTAATATTCATTTCTGTGTCTCTTGATGTCTCTTTTTGCCACCCTGCATCTCCATTTCCATTCCTCAATCAAGAGAGACAACCTGCACCTAATTACTTTTTCCTCTTTAGTCCTAGTTTTGCCATATCCATTCCCGAGTTTGTTATTTCTGACACTGCTAGCCAGGTTATCTCAGACTTATGTGCTATTATGGGTATGGTTACCAGGCTCACTGGTCCTATTTCCCAGAATGTCCCCAGTGCTCCACTCCAGCTGTGTGGTTCGGCTGTTGCTCACACACATTCCCCTTAACCACATGAGGGATCCAGCTAGCCCTCACAGCACCACCTGTAGCTTTTGCCAGCTTCTCATAATATTCCCTCTCACATTCAGCTTTCCACGTCACATCCACTCTCTTGCCTGCTAGCTTTCAGAATCTTTCCAGGTAGCTTAACCTCAGGCCAGGGCCCAGCTGGCAGGTTGGTGCCTGCAGTGGTAGCCCTATCCCCATCCTCCAGCCTGCAGCATTATTATTTGCTTGCAAATGATCCATATGAGGACTATTAATATATTTATTAGATGACATAAATATAAATCATTACTGAAAAGTCTTACCTTTTTGAGGATATATGATAAGAAAGTCAAGGCAGAGGGCCTGTCTGAGCAGTTGTATGTTCGGTTTTCCAGCTAATGCCAAAACTCATGGCTGTTCAATAACAAAGCAGGCTCAAAGAAGGTGGTCGTGAAATGTTTGTGGATGTCCTTCTATGTTCCTTGGCAAGTCTATGGTATCACCTCTAGTACCGTGAGGGTGGTGAAACGATTCAGCTTGGTTGTTTCTTTCACACCTTCAAGAATGTGTGAGGTGTCATTTTGGATCTGCTAAGCAATGCTGGATGTTTGCCCAAATCAAATTGCTGGATGTGGGAACAGTTGAAGTCCTTATGAGACAGACTTGGGAGGAGGAGGTGAAAGCAGCCATGAGGTGTTCCTTGTGTCTCTGCCCTTCCCCCAGCACTTCATTTTTGCACCTCTGCTGAGCCCCAGTGGAACCAGGGCAGGGGGATGTCTTCTCTGTTCAGGAGTACTGGGCGAGATGAAGATACCTGCAGCCATGCTGCTCTCTCCCAAGAGGGCCACACTGCTGCAGCTCTGCTCTCACCCTCCTACCATCCACCTGCTTGATTCCAGCTCCTGCTGGCAGCAGCAGAGCTCTGCCTGGCACTGCTGGGCTCTTTGTGCCCTGGAGGTTGGCACACCTGGGTAAAGATCCTTTACTAGATGCGCTCTCGTGAATCTTGGGCACGAGCACCACAAAAGGTTGTAATAAGGTAAAGAACTTGTTGTGAGGCCACAATGTGACAAATGAGTAGTAACCCACACCTCAATGTAATGAGTCTACCTTAGGCTACTCTTTTCTACCTTGAGAACTAAATGAGACTATCCTAGCTGTGAATGCCCATTGGATTTGTATCAATCCATAGGCTCCGACTGGACTGAAGCAGCATCACTTCTTAATTCTTCATGTTGCAGACTAAACTCCTTCTGGTTTGGGCCTATTAGAGAGTAAGAGCTCTTTGGACACAAACTGTTTGACCTCTGTTTGCATGGCAAGATTTTCACCTGTAATTATTTACTAAATGTGTTGGGCTACTGTGTATCCTAAGTAAGAAGAGCATAATTTATATTACCTACTTTAAAAAGCCAGAGAAATTGGATTATTTTTTTTTTTCAGAGAAGATAATGTTTAGAGAGAGAGGGAGACACTGAAATGTCTGAAAATATCTACTAACAGAAAGACACAGAAACCTCTGTTTAACCACAGCAAAGAGTCTCATTCTCTCCATGTTTTGGGCACCTTTGTCTTCCTTTGCATATATGAAAGGTGAAGTATTTGGCTAATTCCCAACCGAGATTGCACACCCAGGATTCCACCCAGCTTCTCTACTCCAGTTGTGCATGCAGTTTTACCTGCTTTGTCAATGAAGGCACTGGTGGGCTGTGCAACCTTGGTTGGTGTTAACGCTCGGCCTCAAAAATTTGAGTGGTTAGGTGTTGGTGGCCACACTCCGGGATGACTGCAGAAAGTTTGGCTGAAACTGTTTTCTGAAAAATATGTATCAGTCCTCTGACAGCATATGCATACATGCCATTCTCTTGTGCTCTACCAACTAAACTTACTGAAGAATCAACCTTTCCTTTGATGCATGGTGCCTGACAACGTTCTTTGAGTCATATTCAGGAGACATGACTACTACAGACAATTAGAGAGAGGGCATTTTACAGCAGGCCTGATGGCTTGCACTGGTATTCAGGGGCCACACCAAGAGACCAATGCCAGTATTTGACTCAGCTGGTACTGCCAGACCTGAGACAGCCCTACAGTTACCCCTGCCAGTGATGCCCTCTCTAGGCATTTTGGAGCCCAGAAGGGACTTCTAGGCTGATTCAGGTACCAAGGGATCACCCCACCATTAGTAAAAAGGTATACGTTGCACATGTAAGTGGAGAATGGCTGTCTCTTGCTGCTTGCAGTGGAGAGGAGCTCCACTGCTGGGCAGCTGGCACGTGAAGGTTGCAGAAGGTTGCCTGTGGTTCTAATATAATGCCTGACCAAAAGCTTTTTTTAGTAAATGGAGAGCACTTGGAAAGCTTTGTTTCAGGCCTGAGGCAAAAATAGCTCATGCTTTGGGGAGAATGTGCCTGGCCCAGAAGCAATGGAGGTCCTTCACAGGAGTGGGGTAGGTCCTGTGCCCCCAGTCAGTCCCTGCACCCACATGGTTGTTATCACTATCACCTACTTGCACCTTCCCCAATAAGTAGCTATGTGGAAGAGAGGCCTGTTTGGCTCTGCTGGAATGACATGGGAGCGTATTCCTCCTGCAATAAAAGAGCATTTCTGCAGCCTTCATGGACTGTATGGGTCAGGAAAAGATTGTGTAATGAGCACATTTCAGGAGATTTGCAAGTTCTGAGGAGATCATAAGTATGTCACCCAGGAGGTCTTCTCTTTAAGTCAAGTGGCGTGTGCTGTGAGGACTCTTGCTTTCTCAGCAGGAGTGGGAGCAGCCTTTGGCAGAGCTGCCATATGCATTGGGCTCTGGCATCCACCTGCAGTGCAGTTAAGGCAGGTATGTTTATTTGGGAGGTATTTCTACACACACACAGAAGGGGTGCTTGTACACAAATCTCTCTCTTCCTCTCTTATGTGGCTGTGTTTCTTTGAACTGATCCAGTATCCCACTGAATTGAATAGGAGGTGGGTAAAGCCTACAAGCCTACTCATGAGAGTACCAATTTGCACGAGCATGCCCTTGTTCTGAGGCAGCCTTTTTTCTATCTCCTTTTGTGTTTTTCGGTATGAAAATACTGCATATACTTTGCCTCTCTGAGGTGTTCCCTTGTGATACAAGAAATGCATCTCTGTCAGTGCTTTATACAGCCTCAGCACCTAAAGAAGCAAAGGACAAGCAGTGGGGGTTGATGGTGCTCAGCACTCTGCTGGGAAGTCTTCTGGATGAGCCTCATATGCTGCAGTCTCTCTTCCCGCTCTCCACTTCATCCCCAGTGTGTATTACACTTGCCCCAGCTTCGCAGAGATAATTTGCACTCTCCTAGTTCATTAGCTGCTACCCCCTCCTGTCCATGGGCAGAAAAAAAGCCCTTACTGTTCAAAAGAACACATGCAGCAATCATTAATGCTGACCCTAATTGTGCCAATTCAAACCACTCAATAGCTCTAATTAAAACCTCTCTTCTGCGGGGCACTGAACGGTAACAAAACTGTCACCCCGAACAATCAAATCATGGAGCTAAGAAATTTTTTTCCCCTGTTGTGTTCAAATGTTGTTGCTGCTGTCGAAAGGGTCATCTGAAGGGATTAAGTACGGGGCTTTTGTAGGCTGCAAAGTGTGTAGGGGGATATCTAAACCCAATCAATATCTTTTGGTCACAGTTTGAAATCAGAAGACCCCAACTTTTTTCCAGGCCTCCTTTCAACCACTTTACCCACCCCCATGCAGCAAGCAACACCTGCAAAATAGCCAGGCTCTTGGTTATGAGACACATGGACACCACAAGTCAACTTAAACATCTGCAAAGGAGGGGGCGAGGGGGAAACCCAGGCGTTCCTATCCCTACAACCTTGTTTCTCAGGGTCCCTGACTACACTTTCCTGTGTGCCATAAATAACTCTGCAATTACGTTAATTGGTTGCATATTTGTTGACACAGGAGTGGACAAGAGTAGGTTATGGTGGGAGGATTTTTGCTTTCGGTGCAATTTTATACTGCCTTCTTCAGATGTCCCTTAATCCCCGCTCTCCCTTCCCCCAGTATTTAGGATTCTCATGTCTTTCAGAATAACTTTATAAGCCTGTGGGTGGGAGGGGGGAGCAGGAAAAAAAGAGTGTTAAAATTCATTTGATGGCACCCATGCACTCACATCTGTTCTGCTGTTTCCCTAGCAAAGTCTATCAATCAAAAGGAAAAGGTTGATGCATATCACAATGGGATATTTCAAAAAGCTGGATGCAAGCAGTTGTGTGCTAGAAGGTTTTTTCTGCACCAAGTTTTTGACAGGAGTCAGGAGAATGAAATTGTGTGCATGTTCACCTATATTTTTTTACATTTCCCATTCTTTTTAAAGAAGGTAGTGAAACTAATAGAGCAACAGCATTAACTACCAAAATTCCAGTCTTGGTACCTTTTACTCTGTTTATTGTTGCGCATGTTCTGAAGTCCAAATCAGGGACCAAATGAAAGAGCCTGACAACGCTGCAAGCACTTTTGTGTCTGTGCTTCTAGTTTAGATCATTACAGGCACACATACTACCACATGTGGTTCTGGGTTCAAATCACCATCTCAGAGTATTTGGTATGGGGTACTCGACTGAGCCTGTCTTTCCAGTGCCTCCTTAGCTTGCTTTCTTTCGCTAGCAGTAATCAGCATTGCAGTGAGAAAGTTCGTGGCATGTTGTGTTTCATCTTTCCTCCTTTCATCTCTCCTGAGCTGCTGTCCTAGCTGAGAACTAGGGAGCAGGATGACACCTGTAGAGCCCTGGCAGTCTGCCTCTTCAAACACCCTGAGCGCTTTCTGTCAGAAACCACCTTCGTTGTTTCTTGTTCTGACTGCTGGGTTGTGCTGTGTGCTGTTACAACATTGCCTTGTCTCAGCAGTAAAGCCATTTAATTTAGTGATGGATAAAATAGCCCATATTTAGAGTAGTTTGACTCAGCCTTGAAGTATTCAGCCTTGGTTAGCAATGAAGTACAAAATCTGGATGTATAAACATATAAACACACATTCTTTCTGTATAGAAGCAACTGGACAAAACTTAAGAATGTTTAAAAAACATTTTTAGGTGGACAGTCCGTGAAAAACTCTTACCAAACTCAGCCATCTGAGCAGATATGTTCAGGATAATGTCTATTTTCACCAGTTTGCCTCAGACCCTGCGAGTCCCAGCCCAGAAGTCAGCAAGGGGCCACACTCTTTTCTAAAAGTGGGGTTGCTGTGACACATGTCCCACACTGTGACGTGCGATGGTGCTGACCCACTTCTGCCTTTGTGTCATCACTGAGTGGGATAGCAACATTCTCTATTTTTCAGTGGCAATGTGCTCTTACAATGGGATGAAGAGGAATAAGTGACACTACCATACGGCATTCAAATGAGTGCGCTTCAGAGCAAGGTCCCTTCAACAGCAGCACTGGAGAGAAGAAACCAGGTTTTTTGTTTGTTGGGGGCTGTGGGAGATAGCAAAACATTCACGTGAAGCTCTTGACACTTGCTCAAGAAGGGGAAATAAGGCACAGAGACATTTTTTTTGGCCTGTTCCAGGTGCTTCCAACCAAGCTGAGAACAAACCTTGGGACCCTAGTATCATGTCTAGCTTCTGGAAAACAGCAACTCTTTTTCTGATCTGGTTCTTGCCTGCTTTCATATGGGAAGCTCTGTGAGTCCCTGTGAGCTGAGGGTAGGGGATTTCTGCAAAATACACTCCAGTGTAGATTCCCATCACTTTCCGTTTGTCCCACAGTCATATCTGCCCTTTCGTCCTTATTCCTTGTCTCCATATTTTAGGCAGCAATGCTGGAGTCTATCCTCTTGACTAAGCTGTTGCATTTTAATTTTCAACAGGCCCCTATTGCTCTTGCACCTTGTGTGTGGTCTTTGAACGTTATGTGGCTCGGCAGCTGGGAATAGTGAGTGGGTGGGCAATTTAAAACAGAAAAGACTCTGTATCAGCACAGGGCTGAGGTTTGAACTCTGCTCAGCTTTGGATACGTGTAGCTGGTTCTCAGGGCTGTGATTTAAGTGCTGTTTTGCTGTTGTCAGTGCGAAACCGAAATCAGTGCTAAGAAACTGGTAGGGACGAAAAAAACTTTGCCTGTCTGATAACGAGCGTTACCCTTGACCCTGATGAAAAATTGCAGGATCAGGGCACCTTAGAATTTGTATTCTGCTGTTTTGTCACCATTTTGTCTCCCCAACTCGGAAAACAAGGAGTGTCTAATATGATGCCAGGGTTTCTTTGTTGGAGTATGTTTATGAGCTGTTTCATGCTGTGTAGGACACAATTCTGATTCTGAGTTTCCTGAGGATATGGACTGCTGATGGAGAGAGGCAGATGAGGTGGGTGCCAACCTGTGAGACAAAATACTTTATTGCATTCATCTGAGCATCTCTCTGAGATAAGGTAAATGGGCTCAAGCAACAAAATACAATCCCAATGTCATGAATTGTTGAGCTCATAGGGCCTGGTCCCCAGCTGCTTCCTCCTCCTTTCTGCTATTTTCTGTGCCACTAGAGGATCATATGAATTGGAGGTCAGGTGGGAGACTCTGCTTTTCATGTGCTCTGGTATGATTCCCACACATGCACACTTCTTTCACAGTTTCGATGGTGAGCCCACTCCGCATGGGCAGAAGGTTCTCATGTATGGGAAATTCACCACTGGCTCTCCTTCCACTGGCTCTCCTTCACATTTGCAGCCCAGAGTACCAAGTTCTCAAAATTTCAGTGCAGAGGTAGTTCTTTCCCCACCCACTTTCCATCTATCCCACCCAGGTAGACAGGATGAGCAGAAAGAATCTTTGCCTTGATGAGATTGATAAATGAGGTTGGAACAGAGCTCCTCTTTTCTGGAGTCCATATGGAGTCCTACCCAACTTCAAACTCATAGCTGACTCAAAAAAAAAAAAAAAAAAAAAAAAAAGTTGGCAAGTCCCTAAGTACTTTTAAAGATTCTAAAGGTTAAAGATATGGTCGATTGGCATTCTTTTTAGAGCCTGGAGTGATAGTATATTTACTTCACAGAATTAAAAAGAATGTACAATTAGCATTAGAAACCTATTAGATAGATATCTGGAAGAGTCATTTAATTTTCCAGTGCCACATAAGTACCCCTCATTCATCCCCACTGCACTGGGCTTCATACTGATTCTTAACATTATACGCTACAATCTGCAAAATATAAGTAAGCATAAAAAAGCAAAAAAGGAGAATACCCTTGTTTTCAAGGAGCTGGCAGATTACAGACTAACATCAGCCATGTCGTTGTAGAGGTTCCATCCTTAAAAACAGGTAACGTGCTGCAGCACCATGTAAAAGCATACTGAAGATCAAATGGGTATTAGTGCCTCTTTACTACATCTTGCACCTCACTACATTCCTTTTTTGGGTTTTGTTTTCATAATAATAAAGGTGTATGGCCAACAGCCTCTTCCTGTGGTGGAATAACACAGGGCCATGAAGGTACAGTTGGGTAGTAGAGTCAGATGGATGGCACTAGTGAGAGTTGAAGGTTTGGCAGTGAACTGTCAGTTTGGGAACTAACCAGGACTACTAGCAACATTTTGGGAAACCGAAGTAGTGCAGCCAGGACCAACACAATTTAATATACTTTCTAGAGAAAAAGTCTGCACAGAATTTCTGTATGAAGTATAATGAATGAAGTGGCAGACTCTAGATGGATTTCATGGGAAAAGACTTGAAATCCTATAATATTTTTGACAAAGCTTTTTGTCCAAGTGTAAGTGAATATTCTGCAAAGAGCTTCCAGGATGAAAAGCCCAATAGAACACTTCCTATTACTAATGGGGTTTCTGTTTTATTCAGGCATATATATAATTAGCTGAGACTCCTTTTTGTTGACATAATCCATCAAATGCACCCCAAAATATGCTAATAGCAATGTGTGTCTGCTTAACAAGTGTGAATACTTTACACACAGCAGCAATTGTGCTGACAGTGGATGACACTGTAAAATTGCTGTTCGCTGCGATGTGAGTCCTTTCAAACCCAATGATTCCTGATTTTCACTTTCATAATCACTGAATGAAATTTACTCCTCCCCACTCCCTCACATTCTACCTATGTCTGGGAAGCTGGGGAAATTGTATTCTACCTCATTTTAGGGTGACTGCACAGATTCTCTCATCCTGTGGTTGCTATTCCAAACTGCATTGGATCGTGAGTATGCTTAACTTTGTGGCTTTCCAATCTTTATTCTGGGCTGCCCTGAACTCACCTTAGATGGAGATTTGGGGGTGTCAGCATAGTATAAAAGGCTCTTTCACTTCTGCAGGTTCTCAGCAATTAAGGCCTGGCAGCAATGGATAATTCTCTGATTAATATGATCTAAATGATTCAATAGGCACGATGTTAAAAAATAGCTCTGAATTCTGAATTGTTACAACCTACAACAACCAATCTTTTAGCAAATTCCCCATTTTATTCTTTATTCCTTTTGTGACAAAAAGTGAAATCTAAACTTGTTGCAGGAGCAGTTGTAGCATCCACTGACTTAAAAAAGGACCTCTAACAGTAAATTGGTCCCTAAAAGCAATTAACTCATATTTGGAGGCAGCAGACTATTCTGTATTGAAAGTGTGAGTAAACATTTCTACTAAACATGTGCAAGAGGGGATACTTGCCCTGATGGAAGCTGTGGCAGATAGATCCCATGTCAGTTCTGTTGTGGGGGCAAATACTATTCAAAAGAGGACAGCAATCTTCTGAAACTTGTTTGAGGACAAGAGAAGTAGATGCAGAGGCAAATAATCAGAGCAATCAAACAGTTCTCCCTGAACAGTTGTCAAGACCACCAATATATACGTTCTGTGCCATGAGTTTGTGGTGGTGAGCATGATATGCATGCACCATAGCAACAAGATATTAATCATCAACACAGACAGGCACATGTTGGGGTAAGTCTTCTGAGGTGCAAGTCGTAGGCTGATCTGGTATACACAACAAGCCCCAACGGTACCAGTTTCAGTGCTACCTCCAGCATCATTGCATAGTTGAATTCATTACAGCTGAGTTTACGTCTTCCTCTGAAGGATGCAAACTTTGGGCCTTGTGTAAAAATGTCTAGACATGAAGAACAACTCCTCTTCCAGTTCTATGTCCCTCTCTCTTTGTAGTTTTCAGTTACACACCCTGAGCAACTTCTTTGCTGGTGAGACACCACTGACTGGAGTGGCACTGTGCCAGCACAGTCTTTGGCACTCTGAGTGATGGCAGGGATTTTCAGAAGAGCTCAAGTGAGAAGGCTATGAGCCCAATTCCACTTACATTTGGTCAGTAGCCTGCTCTTGGCTCGTCAGCATCTCTGCGAGGCCACTGGTGCCCAGTGCAGGCACTTCCCACTTGCCAGCAGAGAAATAACAGACAATTTAGTGGCACAAAACTTTCTGTTTCAGCAGTTTGTTTTATTTACCTAGATTATTCTTTGAAGATGACACACCAGGAAAGTGCACCTATACCAACCGAAGCACCCAGACCACTATGCTGAAGAGTTTGGCATGCATTTTCAATTGTGAAGGTAATTTACTACTGGAAAAAAACCCTATGTATTTTCTCTCTTGATGGTGTCTTTAAATGAACTGGGATGTCCTCCACCCTCCTGAATGGTGATTTGGTAAGGTTTTTGGGCTTGGAGCAGCTCTGTGGAATTTAATGTTTGTGATACATAGGCCAGGCTATGAAGTCTCTTCTGCACTAAGGTACTAGTTTGATTCCTGTACAGGCCATTCGCTTAAGAATTGGACTCGATTGTCCTTGTGGGTCACTTCCAATTCAGAATATTCTGTGATTCTGGAAAGGAAATATACATTCCTACAGAGAAACACCTGGCCATGGGAATATAGGTCAAGACTGAAGTATGTGTGCCAAGGTTATGAACAGCTTTGGCCATAATGGGATCAAAGGGTTCCGTTACCATGGAATTTCTGACCATCTCTAGAACTTTTACTTGGTGTTAAGATGCTGCTGGTGTCAGGGCCTCATAGGCATTGAAGGGTAGGCTTCCCGTGTAGTAGATATTCTTCGTTAGGGATTAGGAAAACAATTATTTTTTTATGGTGGTAATGACCATTTATATAGCACAGAGATCCTGATATCCATGGGTTTGTCTGTGAAAAAATACACCAAAGAAAGACATTAATGTTTAAAGTAGAAGTGATAAAGAACACACGAAGGCATCACACATGAAATAGGTCAGATGCAAAAATAAAGCTGAAGAGGGGAACTTAGGCAAGTGTGATATTGTTATCTGGACTGAAATTTTATCAAGACTTAACTATGAGGTGATGTGGTACTTCAGTGGTGGGATCACCACCTGAACAAAACTGTACTAGATTCTCCCTGTCTTTTCACAGATTCAGGTGTGCACTGATACAACTCGTCCAAACTCAACAGAGCTGATCCTGATGTACACAAGGACACTCATATTCAGATTACCCAGCTCTCCCCCTCCTCTTCCCCTCAAGGTCTTTCTGCTCATGTCATGTGGAATGGCATAAGTTCAGGTATGGATCAGAGAGACTTTGAAATGGAAAATCAGAGGATACTGCAGGCCATATTGGAGAAGAGCTGGCAGAGTGGTGAGGGTTAGGACTAAGATAGGCTTGTATGGGGTGCTGTGTTTGGAGTCCCAGAGGCCAAAAATAATGAATACTTGCAGAACTCCATGTGAGTAACAAATGGCTTATCCTGTCTAGTCTAATGATAAAATGTTACATAGTGGGATTTTAAAAATAAATATGTTTGGTTTGGGGTTTTTTTGTTGTTGTTGTTTTTTTTTTTTTTTTTTTTTTTTAAAAGAAAGATTAAAGCAACCACTATAGCTAAACACACTGCTTTACTCTGATAAGATGCCAGAATTACACGACTTCTACTGTGTAACACGGTTCTTCGTGTGGGCGTAGCAGCCCCTCCCCATACCTAGCGGATACACTGTAGGGAATTTTTGCAAATGTGAGTATTGCCTCTTGTAAGGTCATCGACTAAAGAAAGTTAAATACATTGTATGAAGAAATTTCATGTCTTGTGTGTTTCCTTGAGAGCATCACAAAATAGTGCTACATAAAATTATCGGTATTACATGCATAGCAATAACCTCCTGTGCATATTGTTTTTCAAAATGTTTGGCCTCTGCCCTGCCATACCCTCCATCAAACTCATGCTGGTAATTTGAAAATGAAGGACTCAATGTAAAAGCAAGTCAGCCTGGTTCCCAAGGTATCTCCACCACTCAGTAAGCACGTAGAGAGGGGCTTGGCATTAGACTCTGCCTCCAGAGCTCAGAGTCTACAGCTTACTGCCATTACACTGCCATGGTACTGCTCCCACTTTAGTTCGTAATCGGACGGACATGCCTGCAGAGACTGGGCCCTGCCGGTCGATGTATCTCCATTTCCCTCCTGCTTCTGCTCCACAGCTGCACTCACTTCCCTGTTGCATGACACAATGCTCACTTTCTACCCAAGCTTCCCATTACTGAGTGCCTGGTTATGCTTGTGGATACTGGGACCCTCATGCAGTCAATAAGGGCTTGTTGTCTCAAGAGGTACCAAACTTGGAATGGTTTTCCAGGTGCAAGGGAAAGACCATAAGCACATCACCTCCACAACGAGGTCTTCAGGATTGGCTGGGCAATGCAAAGCAATGGGTTGTGGGCCTACTTGTGCAGTTGGGAAGGCAGGGAAAGATCTTCAGGGACAGGTAGTCTCTGTGGCTGTGGGTCAGCCATGCCCTGGGCCCCGGCATGGAGGTGACAAGAGGACATGCACACCCTGAAGCACGAGCTTGTGCCTACAGCAGCTTTTGCCCCAGAGCGCCAGACCAAAGGAACGCCGTTTGTGGACCATGAGGTGATTTCCTACGCCAAAGTTTCCTGGTCACCTGCCCGACCCGGCTGCACGGCTCAGCTGTTACTGTCCCTGCCCCGGGCTGGGGCCGGGTATGCCCTGCAGGGCTTTGAGCTGGAGAGTGCCGGCCGCGCTGGCTGGCCGTCGCCCGCAGCCCCGCCGAGGCTGCCCGGCTCCCGCCCAGGTGCCGCCGAGGGCTCCAGATGCTGCGGGCCCCGGGCACCGCCGCCCCGGGCACCGCCGCCCCGCGCCCCCCGCCGGCAGCGCCACCGCCCGCGGCCAACCTGCGCCGTCCGCCTCTCGCCGGGCCGCGGGGCGGGGCGGGCGGCACCGCCTCTCCGCCATTGGCTGCGGCCCGCGGCGGTCGCGCGACTATTGGTGCTTGCCGTGGTCAGTGCCGCCCGGCCCCGCCCCGCCGCGGCTTTATAAGCGGCATCCCCATGGCCGGGGCGCGTAACCTGCCGCGGCGGCACCGGCAGCGCCGCTCCGCCCGACACGGACACGCCGCCGCTCGGCAGAGCTGCTGCCGGTGGCCGCAGAGCTCCGCCGCCGCCCCGAGGGACAATGGTGCCGCGGGCCTGTCGCAGCGCGGGTGCTCGCCCGTTCTTGCTGGCGCTGCTGCTGGTGCATCTGCCGCAGGGTCGCGGCCACCGAGCCACGGGGCCCCGGGTAAGTGAATAAGTAAGCTGCCGCCCCGCCGCAGCAGGTTGCCCTGGCCCCGGCCCGCTGCCCCCGGGCCCTGTCAGCGCCGCAGGTGGAGCCTCGGCCGTCGGGGCAGCGCCCCCCCCCCCGGCGCAGACCCTCGCAAGGGCCTCCCCTCTCGCTTATTAAAAGCCGGGTGCCGGCTGCTTGCGCGAAGTTCGTACACCGTTATTAGCTTCTCGGTATTTATTGCAGAAAACACGGGAGGAGGGAGGTTGGTAGGCTGTGTTTTTATATTGCTCGTCTTGCATTTAATGTAGCCCCTGTTCCCAGCACGTAGCTTTAGGACTTTTTTTTATGTTCCCAAGCAGGGATTAAATGAATCCCTGCAATAAAGCTCGATGCCTTCAGCCCAGACTTCTCCCTGTAGGAGTCTAGCTCTATTTTTTTTTACTCTGACAGTATTCGACTCTTACTGGGGCTGTTAATTTCACTTACCAAACTATTACATTGCTCTGGGGGAGAACCCAACATCTTTTCTAAATATGGTTCTCCCAGTGAGCGAGTGCTACCACTGCAGCACCACTACGGAGTAGCACGAGAACTTTCAATTATAAAGCTGCAAAACAGTAGCTGTTCTTCAGCCAATGCTGCAATGAAAGCACCGCTCTGGGTAAGTGGACAAACTTATGTCTCTGCAGGCATGTTGGATGCATTGGGCCATGTGCATTCTTGACCTAGCAGTCTGAAATGCTGTGAAATGTAGCACTTAATTAACTTAGATCATGGTTAGGCAAGATCAGGAGTCTTCAAAATCCCTACTCATCTGAAATATAACAAGGGACTTCAGTGCAATGTTCTGTTTTCTGGTTTTTGTTTTTTTTAATGGAAGTGCTGTTTGACCATGATGGCTATTAAATGCTTCTCTGAGCTATGAAAAGTGTACTACTGGCTGCACTGATGTCCTTGTGTTCAGCTGTGCTGTGTAGCCTCTTTTATGGCCAGATGTGTAACAGCAACTGTTAGAACTAGTGTGAACAGAACTAAGTCAGAACTGGTGTGTGCCATAAATTATTGGAAACCTGCTTTAAAATATGAGGAAACACAGGGGTGCTTATGCATATATCTGTATTGCCCCATATCAAGCATAAACCTCAAAACTGGAGTGGTTCCAAATAGAGAGGAGCTTTGAGGTGATAAGTTAGAGTCTGGCTGGATGACTGGGGCCCTTCATCAGCACTGATATCTAATGCTTTAATGAAGATCAATTTAAACAAAGAACAAAATAAAAAAGTTCCTGATGGCAGTGCATAATTTTACAGTAAACCTGTATATCAAACAGGTTTCATATATGCCATTTTTATATAGTGTACTTTACAAGGCAGTTTAATCACTCCTTATGCTGTGTCTCTTGGAATGGGAGCTACTTCAGGAGAGTGGAAAACCAAATACAAAGGACTACTGATTTACTTTTTGCTTGAAGTAAGTGAACTGACTTTGCTATTTCTCCCTTCATGAGTGGGGGAGAACATCAGTTACGAGCACTAGCAACTGCAGGTCTGTGGAAAGATGTGCCTTAAAGTTTTAACTTATGAGCTCTTAAATAGAAAGCTGTGAACTTCCAAGGTGTTTAACTCATGAAGTCTGTCTTTTTGCCCTTCAAAGTGTCGTGATTAAGTACATGTGAAGGGGAGGAGGTTGGTTTACTTGTTTGCAGCCATGTTGATTGATATAAGCCCTTGAGCTTCATCTCTTGTAGTGATTAGTTAAGTTGTCATTAGTATAAAGGTACCATACTTTAGATTCCAATGAACACAAACATTTCTTTATTATTAATTCTTCAATGATTGTTACCAAGTTACACTGGTATGTATTTCTCATGCTGACTTGTGATCAAGAGTGTATTCCTGTCAGGAAACCTCCCTGTGTGGGTGGTGTGTCAGTGTTACAGTTCTGGGGGTCAAATCCTGTAGGTGTTCAGTTGCTAGGTGTGAAATTTATCCTTTAACATTTTCTTTTCTGTATGGTAAGCACTGGAACTACAATATTTGCAAGGTGAGATGCTTTTAAAGGTGAACAGCAGCTTTTTAATCCTTCTCAATGAATTTAAATGACCAACAATAACGCTTGAAGCAAGTTTCAGATCTTCCTCCTTGCTTTTCCCTCTTGCTACTGTAGTGTTGCTTCTAAGCTAGGCAGTCAGCATTGTAACTGAATAGATACGCAGAGGAGTATGGCTTGCTACTGTTTGCAGAAAAGGATGAAAAACTAGGGATATTGAAGAGAAATAGGTGTATCTATATCTCTTCTGCCAATGAGGGGTGAAACTTTCAGATGAAGTGAGTTCAGCATAATTACTTGAATACGAAGGTAAATTATAAGTGCAGCTAGTATCTACAGGTCCGCTGAGGAACTTCTGGCTCTCAAAAGGTGTATGAATCTTGCTGTTTCTTGTTATAGTGAAACTATGAGCAGTGACATGAATTCCTTAGACTTGGTAAGTGTCAGTGACTTGCAGGAAACATCTGGCTTTTGCACATATGCTGGCACATATGTTGGCAACTGACACTTACTAGCAGCTGCTCCAAGTGAAGCCCCATATTAAGTCTTATACCTTGTCCTAGAAATAACTTGGAAGCCCAAGGCTACTGTGTGACTTGTTCCCTCACTTGGCAGACTCTAGAAAAGCTTCTGCTGTGTTACACAATTGCCTGGTCACTTCTACTTTTGTAGCTCAGAAGAACACTGTGGATGCGATCAACTGACTGTACTTGTCCATCTGAAGGACGGAAAAAGATAATCAGGCTTTACTTTCTATCATATTATCTTCCTGTGTGCCTCTTTCTCTTTGCTGGCATGAGATCTGGAGTTGTGTGACAAGCCAGGTCTCACTGTTTCCCCCTCCTTGATTCTAAAGTGATAGATGGGGAGCTTGACTGGGCTGGCTCATGCATCTCCTACTGTGTGGTGCATTTAAGCAGTATTCTTTTACAGCAGATTAAATAGATTGTGCCACTAAGCTCTGTATTCCTCCATCTGGACAATTAATTGTGACCTTTGTTTTTTCTAGTTCAGAGACAGATCTATGTAGGCCTCCTGCTTTTTGAGTATAATTCCTGACTATTATGAACTTGGATCATTTATGGCAGAAAACTCTTGGTGGCAGTAATGACAAATACTAGCACAGAGAAATGGTGGGTGCTTGCAGAAGGAGCAGAATGTGACTGCAGCAGTCAAAAGCTGTCCTATGAATGGACTTGGATTTCTGGAA